ATAGATTAACAGGATGCTATTTTAGCCAAATGATATGTTCTCAGGCTAAAGTGGGAACTTCTTTAAAAATATTAGCCAAAAAAAAAAAAAAACAGAAAGCAGAAATTATATGAGTTGGAATTTAGCCCAAGACCCAAAATTCACTATAAGGTAATGTATTGAAAGACCATTCTATTGATAATAACATTTAGGATCAAGATTTATATTACATTTTATATTACTAGATCATTCTGTTGTAATATTGAAGTTTTATATTTACTATCACAGGATAATCCAAAATGAAAGCAAAGTAAATATGTGTAGAAATTAGATGGAGAAAACAAAAATGAGAAAACTGTTGGCATTTTGTCAATGGAAAAGTAGACATGAAGATAAAAGCGTCGCCATAGTAACTGATAAATGCTCATTTCACGTGCAAAATCCCTTTTTCATGATTAATACAAACGCAAGTGAGCACAGGTGCTCGATAAGAGAAGAAAAACTATGCAATAAACAATGAAAGTTTGCACGTGCCTACCTATAAAGCACGCGTTGTATAATGGAGGACCTGTTTCCACGGGCATACGGCAATTGTTCCCTATTCTACTTCTAATGACGATAGTAAAAAAAAACAGAGAATCTAACGATCTTGTCACATTGAAGAAACTTCAATTAGTTGCGACTACATTTTATCCTACATACGGTTTATGTAATTTGTCATCTTTTAATTATCATCTAACATGTATATCAATGATATAACTAAATCTAAAATAATATATTGATTATTAACATTATATCATAATAATTATCATTATTACTAAGTATAAAAAAAATCCATCAGAAATAAAATAGTAGCCAAATGTGTGGATTATAAATATGTACATTGTAAAAACTAAAAATAATGAAGGCAACGTGATTAACATGGGGTGTTAATACTGGAATGCTGGGATATAAATATTACATTGTGTAATAAAAGGTTAAAGGCTAAATTTTAAATAATACACAAAGCAGATACAAAACATACTGAACAATAGATAAAGGGTGTAAATACTGCAAAAGAATGAGAATTAATTATGAATTGAAACATAAAAATGATGACCTTAAAGACTATTGTGTGTGTGTTAAACAATAAATTTCAATATGCAAACATGCTTACTTTGTATACAGTAATTTTTACCTAAATTTAGTAAAAAATGGAGAAGTAGTTTTTGACTCATTAAACAAAAATAAAGAAGCAGTCTGACATGAAATAAAACAATTGAAAAGTTTAATTCCATTGCTTAGTTTGTATATTTAATTATTAATATAAAAAATTGAATGTGAAAAAAGCGACTGTTAATAATACCTTTGCTGTTTTCTTTTAGATGGTAAATAAATCAACTCTATTGGTTATAACCCAGTTTATATATAAATTGAGGGAAAAAAAATGTGTTGCTTGGGTTCCCTGTCAACCAAAACTTACAGGATTTTAGTTGGTAAAATGATTACAGGGCTAAAATTCAAATTTATATAATTAAAGCTTGCAAGTGGACTTGGAAACATAATGTATTTCGTGCTTTTCTTTGGCAAAAAAAAAAAAAAAGAAATTGCTAAAAAAAAATAGTGGAGCCTAAGTTTTTGGGCAACACTAAGTTTTATTTTTTTGGCCTTATTTCTAAGGTCTGCACATCTTTGATTAGGCCTAATCTTGTTTTGCACATTCCCTTATCTATAATTAATTATTGCGGCTACCTTTTGACTTAGATTGGTGTTGGTGAGTGGGAGGGAGGTGGGTGGATATGTGGATAGATCACTGTCGGTGTGCCTGCTTTGTCTTATCTTGTGCTATTTTCATCTTTTTATCTCTCTTTGATGTCTTATGCAATTTTCATGTCCTGATAATTAAACTGAACATTTTCATCATTTCAATTTTAATACGAATCTAATTCTCCGAGTTTTTAGAGCTTGAAATAAAATTTATATGTGCATTTGTAAGTGTAATTGTAAAGTAAAATGAAATTCAGCCTTAAACTGCCATGTTTTATTGTTTGATGTTCAATAACAAATTTCAGTAAACAACAATTAACAGGCCTACATTGATCTAAATGCATTCTACCGGAATGTCTAAGAAAATTTACAACATGTATTGATGATTTGTAAAATTCCTTAAGTATAACATTAAAAATATCTCTTCTGGCCTCCTTTAAATTACGTGCAATCAAGCGAAAAAAAAACCTCATGACATTGAGTAAAAAAATCTTGCAAGGCAAACGAAGGTCGGAGACCTTGAAGGACAACCAGAAATGGTTGACATTCCCCCAGTATCATGAATATGCAAAGACTAGATCATCTTAATTGTAGTGGAATGTCCTAAATAATTGCGGTGTTCTTAGCAGCCTAAGTCTTTCCTAACCATCTTCTGGATTTTCAGATGGGACTAACCGGTCTAACAGCCTTTGATGCATTAAAATAAGGCATTAATGTGATACCATGAAAATGCATGAACAGGAATTCAGCCATCTATGCTAGTGCCTGAAAGTGTAAGGAAAATCTGAACTGACATTGCAGCGCCAATCGTCTTGATAGAAAATATCTCCTAATTACTACAAGAATTGAGCGATAATTTCTTTGTTTGAATTGTTATAATAGCGCCAACATTACTAATAAAGGGAATTTAAGTAAGACATCATTGAGTTTGGGAATACAATTTATTACATTATTGTGAATTAGCATAATCATCTTAAATTATACTTAAAGAATAAATTTTACAGCGTACAATGGTGATAGGAGCGGTTTAGCGGAGTGGTTGCGATTCTGCTTCTAAACCTTGAGGTCGGCGGTTCAATCTCTCACTGTTCATTTCACTTGTGTCCTTAGGCAAGGCACTTTACCTATGGTTGTCTCTCTGGACCGATGGCTACCTGGTAGGTTCAAACACAAAAATGAGCTGATTACCGGTGCAACATTATGAAATTCTCTTCAAACACCTGAGTATGTGTTCTATATAAGCTTGATTCAATGACCAGGGGGTAATAATGTGAAGAGCTTAGAGCGCTATATAAGTAACATATTATATCATACTAAAAAATAATAATAATAATAATGTCATCTTATTTGGCGCACGTATCCATCTCTAACATTAGGAAGGGGAGGGGAGGGGGATGTCTGACTCAAAGATACTGATCTTCTTTTAAGCCAATGAAAAACTTATTCTCATAATTTATAATCATTGTTATATTTAATGAAAATTATATTTGCCAATGAAATTAAAATCATATATATATATATATATATATATATACATATATATATACATATATACATATATATATATGTATATATATATATATATATATGATGTATAAGAGGCTAGATGTGTATAAGAGACAGGTATATACATACACACATATACATATACATATATATATGTATATTTAAATTAATCAATTTAAAACTAAAACCAGATAAGGCTATCACTCTGCATTGTAAGTCAGATATATAAACAGATATGTTAACCAAAAATAAAAACCCAGTAAACCTAATTATTAATATACTAGAAACCTAAAGAAAACTAAAAAGTTAACTATGATGTCAAGAAATAATTTGTTATAAAAGGAAAAGATTCAGGAAGTAAGATCAGACATAAAGTTAAAATTCGGTTCAATTCAACAATAGTTTTGATTTTGAAATCAAAAAAAATATAATTTGAAAAATAAATGAAAGCATGATCTAAAAACAAGATGGTTATGATCAAAATTCAAATGGAAATGATAGTTGCAAGCAGATTGATGAATTAAAATGACTTAAAAGTCTATCAGAATAATCATTGCATTGATCTTAAACAAAAGTATGAGAATAGATCAATGGCCTATAATTAGAAATATGATTTCTAAAATAGATCAATGAATAATCTGTCCCAGAGCAGATTCAGGACAATTATAATAGCTATTGAGGCCAACAATCACAGAAGTAGTCCACACAAACATTCTCTTGGGACCGGTCAGACTATATAGCTATATTGAGGTAACCAGATTTGTGAATTATTATTGAAGACACAAAATCCGCAGTTTTTCATTATGCCTATTAAGGTGGGCTTACAAGCCACTTGAGAAAGAGATATCCAGTTATCGAATTTGAGCTGTCATCGGCCAGATATTAGGTTAGATCTAGATTAAATGCAACATTACCTGTTACAGAACTCAAGAAGTCCCATGACACATTTCAACGTTTGCTGATACTGGACACTGAGGGCGCTGTTGTGATTTGAGAAAATTAGTGGCACTGGCATCTATTTTGACCTAACTTCTGTAGTGTTAGATAAATGTTAGACCTCCTGTGAGGACCATATCGTCCAGCATGATGAAGTCTGGTCGTGCTTTGCGAATCAGTCAGGCGTGCAAGATGGTTGCGAGATTTGGATTGCTGGATCCACACCACATGCTATTGATTCCATAGGGCAGATCTTATTTTTATTTGTAAAATGATTAACAACGTTGTAACATGGAAAATGTATAAAACTTGATTGAGATTGTTAGTTTTATTTGTAAAATGATTAACAATTTGTTAGCATGCAAAATGCATAAAAAAAACTGGATTGAAATTGTTGGGATCTGCCCCTTGATTCTGCTGGGGCCCTAGGTGACCCAGACCCCCAATCAATGGGCCCGGACAGGCGAAGATGCCCCGGGGCCCCATCTGCTCTCGGCGGCATTGCCCAGGCCCCCAATATTTTTGGATATTCGAAAAGAAATGGTGGGAGGGGGAGGTTAGGGAGAAAGAACAGTTTCAAATTAAAGTTTCAAATTAAAGTTTCAAATTGCCATTTCTGGCCATCTACAGTGGTAGGTGTCCCACATACAGTATAGAGGTGCCATAGACATAACATTTCATCCTGTTGGGACTGAGGTAAACTGGACCGTCCATATGTAAACAGGGGCCCTTCTATTTCAAATTCCTGAATCCATCACTATAAACATAAAGGTTAATAGTGAAGTAAAGTATTATTATCCTTGAAAATACTAAAAAAGTCAAAACAACAATGTAAATTCGTAGAAATTAGTATCAATTTAATGATGATAACAAAAACTTAACAGAACTTTTAACAAACTGATGGAAAAAGTTACCTTTTACAATACAAAATAACACAGCTATAATAGCAGACATGTTTCAAGAAGCCTCTCCCATCATCAGTAAATGACTGGCCATTATATTTATTTTCTATTAGAAGGTTGGATAGCATTATTCACAATACAATTTAATATTTAATTTACTTTATTATATTGTATATAACCTTTCAAAACTTATTTATTTTGTTCAATTACAAGTCCATATGAGCAATTTCATGTTCTAATAAAATATTTGAGATTTCCAGATTTCCTTACAGACTGTTTATCTTTAATTATCCATTAAGTCATTTGCTAATTATAGCATGCCAAAGTTAAGTAAATAGAGAAAAGTTAATTAATTTATACAAAAATACATTAAATGAGAATAAGTACATTAGCATATAAAGTAAATATAAGCTGTTTGCCTTTCTAAATCTGGACGTTCACTGCACCCGACGCGATTTTATAGAGAACAGAATTCCTTGATGCGTGCGCAATGAGTGGTTCTTAATGGTGATTTGTTCAGACTGCCATCGACAATCAGCAGACAGTGTAGAGTCTGTAGTCCTGATGCCAGAGGATGGTCGCATGGCCGTTTTACAACACAGTGAGTGCCAGGCTTTGGTAAAGTCTATTCAGTGCTATGAAATGAAACACTGAAACACAAATTCCTTATTCAGTTTTGGTCCATCGATTGTGATATGCTATGAACCAAAAATCAAGAAAACCCTCAAAATTTAAATAAAAAATTAGAAATCTTATTTAAAATAACCACACAATTTATCAACTTCCAATGAATATACTCCCCCACTCCCCCCCCCCCACCGTACTTCAGTGTGTTATTGTTCTTTTTGTTTAAGTCTATTGTTTGACAATGTTCAAATGTTATGGATGTTCTTTGATGCCAAAATTTGGAAGTAGCTTTTGTTCTTTCTGTCAATGATATCTCTGTCATAACAGTACTCATAGAATATTTACACGATGAAACTAATTTTCAATTAATTCGTTCTAACACAAAAGAAAAACCTGATTGATGTTAGGACCTGATATTTAACTGTTCTCAAATTATGTCTTTCATAAAGAACCAATTGAACAGGTTTCTGTTAATATCTAGGGGTGGAAACGTATCATAAGTTGAAACTTGATCCCATGCTATCTTAATTTTATTGTAGTACATTCAAAAACTTAGTTAATCTTAGAAGTAAATACTTTCAGAAAATAATTTTTATATTGCAGCTGTGGTGTAGTATTATACAAAGCCTCTTTTCATGTCATGTTTGAATCATGTTTGAATGATGTTATGAAAAGATAATTTTTTGTTTGAAAGAGTTGTGAAACAAATATCGAATTGCAAGTTGCCCTACAGACATTTATTAAACGCATAATTCCTTCGTTTTTTTTTTTTTTCTTTATAAGACAGCTAAATTGTACTTTAATCATAATCCCATTCACAATTCAATTCACTTACAAAAGAAGAATGAGGCATGTCTTTGACATTGTTAATCACAAAGTTTGACTTGTAAGCCAATATCATTGTATGCTTCCTTGATCGTTACTTCAGTGTGTTATTGTTCTTATTTCAACTTTTGTTTGACAATGTTCAAATGCGTTGGATCTTATTTCTCTGATGCCAAAATTTGGCTTCTCTTTATTTCCAAACTGCCAATCATACCCATGCGATAACTTCACACATAATAGAAAGAAACCAATTTTAAATGAATTCCAAAAACAAAAGATTGATGTTGGACTTGACTTCATCTGATTATTCTCCGATAATGTTGTTTAGTTAGAAATAGGCAACTGTCATGCTTCCTTGATCGTTTTACAAAGTACAAACAGGAATACATAGGCCTACGGGGATTTCAAGTTGGGAGAAACTAACATTTTTAAGCAAAATGCAACAAGAATCAATACAAAATGAGGTAGTAATACAGTTCGCCCTTCAATTAGTGACCATCTTGGCAGGGTGGTCTCGGGGTGTGGTCTCTAATTAAAAGATCGATGATCGTTATTTCGTTGTCAGAAAAAGTGGTCTCAAATTAGAAGAGTCTCGGAATTAGAGGGGTCTCGAATTGGAGGGTGCACTGTATACATATACAAATAACAGTTCGGTTCAAAGTCATAAAAAATTAATTTAAACAATACTAAAATAAAATATACATTTTGCTTTCAGAGAAGTTACCTCATTCAAATATCAGGTATCTGGTTCAGTATTTTTCAACAGAGAAGCTTTGTCATTGCTGCTATCATCCACATTATCTTCATCGTTGACGGATGATGTGAAGTTTGGTTGCGAATCATCCCGACAACAAGGTATAAAATCAACCGGCATTAGTCCGTTGTACATTGCAGTTCCAATCATTAGAAACATAAAGCCATCAACTTGATAAATTTAGAACAAAATCAATGTTAAAATCTCAGCTAGTCTCTAAGTGCTACCTTTAGCGTCCTTACTGTTTACATATTAAAAATCAACGTGGTTACAAATAATGGTCTTTTGTTACACAAAATTGAATGTCTCCAGAAAAGGGCAAATTTGATTGCTTAATGACAACCTTTTTTTTTTTCTTACTTTTAACTGAAAGATCATCTCGAAACACATAATCAGAAAGTGGTGTTGTTAGTCTATGAATGAGACTCTTACCTGGATGGACCAATATGAGGAGATTCCTAATGGAACTAACCCACAAAAAAAATGGAATTGTAAAGGAAATGTTTAGGCTTGTTACATAACGTTGATGCATTATGTACGCCTGAGTTTCTCTGGTAAGTTCCATTAGAATCTGACTTAAATCGGTTAATCAAGGTAAGTATTCATGAAATAGACAGAGAGATTAACAAAAATAAATAAACTTAAAGAGATATTACTTTGAAGGATTCCATAGGTAACATCAAATTCTTCTCCAAAACCTTTGTCAAATGCATAATAGATGATCAAGTCCACGAACCAAACCAAAATGGTTCTGCAGGCATCAATCAGGGTCCGATGAACAGCTAAAATGGAAAGAAAAACTATCAAATATAACTAAAACTGAGCCTTAGTTATATACTTTTAATATGTTTTTCTTGCAAATCATTATCACTTTATCAATATTATTATTATTATTATTAGTTTTTATTAGTGTTTCATTTTTCTTTGGTTTTTCTCTTTTCTCAATGTGCCTATATATGGTCATGATGTGCCTATATATATATATATATATGGTCATGATGTGATGAAATTTAATATTCAATTCTCGTTTACTATTAAAAACTATCCCCTGTCGGACACCAACCAGGTATTTATGAGTCAAGGTATTGAGGCCGGGATTACAAGGTAGGACAAGTTACTTACGATCACTTAAATAATTATGGTAAAAACCTATCCCCCACAGGATTTGTTTTTTAAAGGCTTTTCTGGATATACCTCAGAGAGTGTGTCTTTAAGCATAGCATATCTTTGTTCTAATTGAGTCTAAACTAACCAACTTTTTTTGGTTGGAGTCAAATGTTTTCTTTAACTAGAAACTGGCTAATAGATTTCTTATCTAAGAAGTAAATCAGTCCCACCATGAAACATTTTAAAAATCCTTAAATGTTCACAGTCGTACTCTAAAGGATTTTGTAACCTAATTCTTAAGGTTTCAGCTAAGCTAAGAGTAACACAAAACATTAACCTCACATTACGATCAACTTACAATAATACCAGACAAATCCCCACCTGAACATACAAGCTTCATCACAGACGTTCATTTATAACTTATAAATATTGTAATCCTGTTTTAATAAACTCTATCACTTATTAGTAAATTAATGCTATGACAACCTCACTAAAATAATTAGGTCATTATGTGCTAAATTAGGTCATAAGACAGTACCTGATTACCAATAAAAATATGGAAACCATTTTGTCCCCATTGTATTACCAATTTTAAAGAAAATCTTGACTCATAAAGATTCTATGATTCCAGCCTCTAAAACATCGACTAAAAAAAACCGGATATTATTATGTCTAGCATACTTCTAGATTAGAGGAGTTAATGTGTTGTCTTTGGTATTAGACTTGCAATCTAAGTCTGACACGAGCATTCTATTATAGTGTTGTCATTGTTTATAAATTATATTTATTTATTTATTATTACAAAGAATTAAAAGCTAAAAGTTCTGCTACTTGGTAATGCATTTTATATTCATATATTAGTATATTACTACTATAATTATACACACTACTGTGTGACCTTGCTAGTAAATTGAAATTGAATTTAACATTGCTTAACATAATAACAGCTTTGAGAGACTACAATAGTAACAGGGACACATATACCCTTTAAAAACATTAGCATCCAAAAAACCAAAACTTTCTTCAAATTTTAACGTTATAATTTGCATTTAAATATCTCCTAGTATTGAAAAATAAAATTGAGTCTTATATTTAGTTGTGCTAAAAAACTGTGCCCATTATGCACACATGAAGACATTTTTCCTATAAAAATATTAGCATCCAAAAAAACAAAACTTTCTTCAGACAAATTTTAACATTATGATAATTTAAATTTAAATATTGCCTAGTATTGAAAATAAAATTAAGTTAGAAACATTATTGTGTTCAAGTCTTTTATTTAGCTGTGCTCCTAACTGCGCCCATTACAGTACATCATTCCAAGGCTCAATTAAGAATTTTCATGTTTTTTTCCCCTGTCTACAGAATGTACCAGATTTTATCCAACACTAATGATCTGGCAAAGGACAACTTAGGTTGGCACGAACATATCTGTACTTAAAATTGATCTGGGCAATTAAGGCTTAGTGGTACAGTACTGTAAATCAAAGGTAACATGTTGACCTACTTAAAGTATAAAAAAATTGGCATGCATGGATTGAAGCACAAGAATTCAGTTTTTAAATGTACCTAGGTTATTTTTCCAAGGGAATGTTAACACTATTTGAAATACCGCTTTACAATGTCAATTTTGATTATAACAATAAATACTATAATTAATACAAGATGATTTTCAAATATAACTTCATTTCTTTTTAAAGATGTTTGCGGTAAGATTAGGAGAACTAATATCATAGACTTTTAATTAAATATTGAGAGCTCATTATCAAGTAAGTGTTAAACTTAATAATCAAGTAATTTATATAGTGTTAGAAAGAAAACTAGAATGCAAAAATGTTCAAATTTCAACAAGCTCGTCCATATTAACAATGACAAAAATAAAGTTGAAAATAACACTAAATGATGATGACAATAATGATGATATATTTATGGTGAGGTTGATAATGGTGATAATGAATATCTCAATAATGATAATTATGATGATGAGATGATATTTTTTGTTAATGGTAATGATGATGACAAGGATGAGGAGGAGAATGATGAGGATGAGGATGAGGATAAGGATGATGAGGATGATGAAGATGAGGAGTATGAGGATTAGGAAGATGATGAGGAGGAGGAGGAGATGATGAGGAGGATGAGTAGTAGGAGGGCATTACCATGCAATGTTTTTTTTGTTAATTGTGATGATGAGGATAATGATGATGATGATGAGGAGGATGATGAAAAAGAGGATGATTATGAGGATATGGTATTGAGGTTGATATGGTGATAATAAATGATGATGATGATAAACCTGAAGATAATGCTGATGATCTAAATGACAATGATGCTAAGAAATTAAACTACCGGTAATTAAGTCAATTAAAATAAAGACCAAAATCAATGCTCGATCCAAAGCTTTTAGACTGCAGTCATCTTGAGCAAATTAATCCCATTCGCTGGATCCCATTATTCTTGGTTTTTACACCGCCAAGGTCAGCAAAGGTTACGCACTAAAATTAAACCTCTCATAAAAATCTATAAATACACAAGAGACTTGAACATCTCATACCAGGTACTAAGATGATGTAATCTGTGATATTTTCAGGATCAGTGGCATGTTTAATATACCACTGTTCTCAGACTTCTAAGAATTTTTGTAAATATGCTACCAGGAATGAAAACAAAATATATTTTTTTGGAACATCACTGCAACTTCTCTTTGAGGTTATTATGTTAACCCACATTCTGGTCGACGTAGTACTTAAGATATGTCCAGAGGGCGCTATGCAAACATATACAGCATATATATGAACCAAGTTCATCATTATTGTATGGTATCATTATTATTACCATGCAACTTCTGATTCAAACTAAGTAAAATTTAATATTTACCAATTGTTACAATATCCGAAAACCATTAAAGTAACAGTACGAAACATCAGTAACAGTAACTAAAAGGAATATATTGAAAATATCTCCATGTTAATAGCAACATCAACAATAACAAAGTTAGAGTGGGAAAATATACTATTGAAAGATTATCATAGACTGCAAAAAAAAAAACAAAAAAAAAAAACAGTAAAAAAAGAATATCTATAATTATAAAACCATTTCCATGAATTATTTGCCAAGGTTAAAGAAACATTAATTATGCATATCCATATGTACCTACTCAATTAATCCTACAATGAGCTGAAAACCTTTGATGCTGAACTAACCAAGCATCACATCAACCTATCCCAGCTGTGGCCTGGATTCTTTCCAGCTGAATCCTTACAATGCACGTACTCAAGTAGTATGAAAAACCAAGGAGGGCACTTGTCTTAAGCGCCATTAATGAGGTCTTTGAAAGGATTCCGTTTATCAACAAACGACTGACTGTATTTCAAATGAAAAGAAACAATATGGCTGATTTTTTTGTTTAATTTAAATTCACCCTTTATTAAAAAGATTTTTTTTCTCACTTAATGGAACCTATAAAAATACCCATTGTATATTATTTACATAGACCCTGAATTTTTCTTGTAATCAATTAATTATTTTTGTAGTAAATTGTCTGTAAATCAGTGAAGAGTGAATTGCTTTTTTGATCCATTGAAAAGAGCTATTTAACATTTTATTATTTGTTTTCGGGGGTGGGGGAGGGCGGCTTTTAGAGAGGAAGTGATGTCACATGTGGTATTCACATGTTATGACAATTGACAGACGTGGTATTTTTAATATATAAAAATGCTTTGACTTTAAGAATTTGGAAAGCTTCAATAGCTATCAAAAACTCTGGAAAAACCTTTATCTCTAACATAGATTTATTTAATCATCATATATTCTACGGAATGATTTATTTCCAGAACTTATTTAAGAGAAACTTTCAGAGTCAGGAAGCAAAGACAGACAGATGTACACCCATCACAAAGATAGGAAAGCATCAGCTATTTGTTTTCCTCAATTTTCAAATGTCTTTTAATTGAGATGGCCATGACTTCTGTGGCACGGGTCAGTGAGGCAATGAGCAGAGAATTACGTTTCGTGCAGCAACTCAGAGATGCTACGTCTCCTTGAGCATCGTGGCTTGATTAACGAACAGCAAGGATTACGAAAACAACAACTTCAATTGCCTCTTGCCTTTATGGAACACAAAACAATCAACCAGAAAAAAAAACACCTAACACAAAAGGCACCCAATTTGAGACACAAGCTAGGTTAAAGGTCGTACTTGTTTTCTAAAGATTAACATTGCCAGAAAATACAAACTTGAAACGTGACAATTTAGCTGACTAGATTAGATGTAGTCGGTTGGTTGTTGACATGCGTGCATTTGAGACAGTGTCTCTCTTAGAAGCAGAAGGATTTTGAAAGTTAACTATCAGATTTTCTCCCGAGTGCCATCCCTATAAATCAATTTCTTATGTTCTAAGCAGTTGATATATATTATTGATGGACAAAAGAAAGCTTTTCAAATTCTCATAGGATAAAAACATTTAACAACAAAAACATCCAATTAAAATCCTAACAACTTTTTGTTTCAGAGACCATAGCTTTCAGTTAAATATTGGAATAGAAAGAATAGAATTTAAACTCATTTAATTAATAAAATTATCTATTTTATTTCTTCAATAATAGAAAATACTGATAGCAGTCGTTGGGCAGTCAATCGAGAAAAATAAAAGTAAAATCTAGTGTCATCAAAATATAGGCTTAACAAAATCCTGTCAAAAAAAAAAAAAATAGTAAAATATTTATTAATTTACTTGCTTTTTAAATATGTGTTTTTCATTCATTCATCAGTTCATTATATTTTAAATGATAAAAATGAATTATTCCCTCCCCCCTTCCCATACCTCTGTACCACCTTCCTCCTTCCCCAGTATCAGCCCCCAAACACAAATAGACAACCAGGAATACTCATTATTATAAGGTACTTCAATTATTTAACTATGATTTTCTTTAGTTTTGCCTAATGAAATTTACAAAGTAAATAAAAATGAAGACAGCAAAAAAAAAAAAGAAGAGAAATATCATGATTGTTTGTAATTTGGCCGTGCACCAAGACTCATTGCAAATGGCCAGACTATTCTAAAGATCGGCACTGATTGCGTCGTACGAAGGGCATACGACCGTCGTACAACGAATCCAACTCGACTCCCTCCGAGTGCTACACAACATGACACCGTCTGCCGATTGTCGGTGGCTGTCTGAATGGATCGTTATTAAAAACAATCCGTTGAGTGTGCATTTCAGCGTTGCATTCTACATAGAATTGCATTGGTCGATGTCCATTGGCGGCAGTGATGCGTGTCCAGATTAATAAACAGACACAAAATACATCCTGATGATTAATAAAAGGTATTTAATATTTTAAATTGTACAAGAAAATATTTAAACTAGTGTAATCTTTTTCCTGTACAAGTCTGGCAACTACTCTATCAACTGTAATGCAAAATAATTTAAACTTGAAAAATTCCTTTGAGTCTAGTACAGTTTGCTCAAAGGTCCCCTTGGAAAAAAAAAATGTCAATAATAAATTACATAAATAACTTCAACAATTTTATCAACAATCCAAATAATTTTAAATACAAGCATCTCTGGAAATATATTTACTGTAATATTTTCCATTAAAGTGAAAGATATAAATTCAATAATAAAAGAATTTGTAAAAACGATGAATATTTTTATCATTATTATATAGAAAAATGTTATAAAATTTAATGCGATTGCATTAAACAAAACAAGTTTTATAAAGCACAAAGATATCTAATATAATCTCAATCGCTCTACACAATTAAAATTATTTATTTTACCGAAATAAAATGAAATTAAAACTGGTAAAAGTATATTAATCAATAATTCATCAATTATAACTACAATTCCATATCCAATATCTAATTATACAAACAGTTAAAACGTCAAATAAAAACAATAAATGTAACATTAAAATAGTAACAATAAAAGTAACATTATGGAATACTGCCCCAGGGAGCTCAGTATGTGTTTCTTAGGTGTTTTTAGACAATGATCAGAATAATGATGCGAAGCACAAAAGATGACTTGACATACGCTGCAAGTCTGACATATTTAACTTCAGATATCAATTTCATTCATTCCGATTAAACATTCTCATACAATGTTTGACACGAAAAGTACAACCACAGACATACTTTTCAAAAGGTTGCCTAAATTATTCTAAAAATTGCCTTTTCTATTACAAAAAACATTTGTAAACTACTGTATAATGCTGTTGTTTAAATAATGTTTTTGTTTCTATAAATATAATTTCACATTTGGAAATGTACTTATTGATTGTCACGTTATATCTTTCGAACGCTAACACAATGGGGGTGTCTATACAAGCTTGAACTTGGTCATATTCGTCTATCTAAAACTAATCAGTACATGTTGTGACCTACATTTAATATTTATAGACAAACACCATTATATATTTCCATTGTTTTTTTGTATTGTATTAAGTAGAATGTGTATGTTTTGCTTTTTGTTGTAATAACTTCAAAAGATAACAAAGAGCATGATATCTATTCTTACTTTTACATTGTATCCACATGATTTAAAACGTACATTAGTATATACTTCAATAGCATGGTAAAGGTTATGAGTATTTATATAACCGTTTTTCTTGTGGTTATTAATAATCGCTTGAACAAATACATTTGTACAATTTTCTACACCCCAACGGGTCTCAATAGGGAATCACTCATGCGTGACCATCCTGAGCGTCCCACATTCTCTGCATATGTAGATTTGGCCAAATTGCGTCCTAGAATCCACACGACGAGGAAAATTTAAAACGTTCTCGCATGCGCAGAAGACTTTTAGTGACATCATTACATTCTATGTCCTACCGTCGTCATGCAATCAAAAGTTCCCTACTGATGCTATGCTGCTGTCAGTAGGTGCAAGAACCCATCAAAAGAGGGCTGAGGTGGAACAGACCCTGAGCACTGGATTGAGGTACACTGGGCCTATGGTTTATAGTCCTATTGAGGTACACTGGGCCTATGGTTTATAGTCCTATTGAGGTACACTGGGCCTATGGTTTATAGTCCTATTGAGGTACACTGGGCCTATGGTTTATAGTCCTATTGAGGCACACTGGGCCTATGGTTTATAGTACTTATCTGAGAAGTCTTGGTTATAGCAACTGTGAGATTTAAAAAGTACTAATCACAAGGCTGCTTTTGGTTTACCCTCAAATCACAAAACTCACTCAAATCTAAGCTCAAAATGTTCCAAAGACTTATAGGGGAAAATAATTTTATTACTTATAAACTTATTAAATATAAAGATATAAGGTTTCTATAAAAAATTAATACAGTTAAACTTGCCTAAGTCGACTTAGCTTAACTTGAATAATTACTAAGTTAATCTTATTTTACATGCCAAATTTTCAATGTGTTTGTCATTAATTAACGATCTGTAAGTGAAATTTTATCTAAGTCGAACAATTTTTCAATGCCGTTTTGGATTCAAGTAAGGCAAGTTCAACTATATTAAAAAAAAAAAAAAACAAATATAAAAGTGGAATATTTAACCACTGCAACACGTAGCTCAAGAAATACACTTTGTCTCTCTAACACCTTAATAAAAATGCCTTTTCATTGTCAATTTCAATTTTCACGAACATATTATATGGATTAATGAAATCTTTTACAATGAAATTATTGTAGCACAGGAGCGTGTTTAGCGTTAGTGCATCATTACAAGGCAATTGTAATTTATCAGTGTAGTGTTTCTCCCAAGTCTCATTCAATTTAAATCCACCAGTCTTCTGATAGTCATGATACTGGCAAGCGAGGGAAGCAGACATGAATTCAAGTTTGTCTCAGAAAGCCTAACCAAGTTATGTATAAATCAATACTATCGAAAGGTCCACTGATTAATCTCAGATCGAAATGCACGCCATCGTGTCGGGATTCAATATTTCAACATTAATTATATCATCATTAGGAATCAATATTATCTTGTTAATTTTTATATTTTTTATTTACTGTGCAAAAAATGACAAAATACATTCCGAATTCTTTAACATTTATAAAAGAAGTTAAATTATATTATAATTATGAAAGGTACATATTTATCAGCAATAACAACTTTGATAATTTTTTAAGAAAATGGCGTTGCTTTGAAACACTGTTTGACGATTATACTTAATTTGACTGTTATGTGTAACCTGATTATTAATAATTAATTTATTTATTTTTAAGTTAATTAAGTATTGATCACATTGTTTTTGTTTCTATAAGTGAGAATTTTTGTATTCATATAAAACTAAGTGATGTTCTTTATTGTTATAATTTATAGGATTTTGTTGCATTGAGAAAATAAATAAATAATTAAAAAAAATTATAAATCAATTTTGCAATATTTCATATTTCTAATTTTTTGCCATACAAATCTTTTGTTAAAAATACAAGTATTGCAACCACAAAGTTACAAGAACGATAAAGTTCTTAGGTTGTTGTAATTGGTTGTTGCATCAGTTGATGGCTACAGTTCAGACAAGCACTAAAGCCAGGCACCACTGGAACCTCTTCACATTTGGGGTGAACATGCTAGGTGTCCACACTATGAGGGTTACCTGGATTTATCTCAGCAAGGCAATATTATCAATAATAATAATAATAATAATAATAATAATAATAACAATAATAATAATAATAATAATAAATATGATTTATATAGCGCACATGTTCACTTAAAAAGTGCTCAAGCTTTAACATTGTGTCATTAACTGTAATTGGTCCAATTGTTTTTTACCAGACTCTACAGTGAGAAAATAGAAATGTTGGATTGGATTGGATTTATTCGGTGTAAACACCAAGGATAGCCCACGAAATTCTAGAAGAAGACTTTTTCCAGTGGGGTCCTTCTGGTGGGGATTAGGCAGTACACTGGGAGACAATCCCCTACTCTTTTCCGAAGAGTGTACTGCGTTCTTTAACGTGCACATGGGCCATAAATGCACACGGGACCAACGGCTTAAACGTCTCATCCGAAAGATTATTGTAACTTGTATTTCAGCCCTCCAGCTGAAACACAAGAAGAGGCAGCGATGGGAATTAAACCGGGGACCTAGAGATCTCCACGGTTCAGCGCACACACAGTGGCTACCACCAGATTAGCCTACTGAGCTAAGCTCATGTTGATGTATATTTGACCCAGGGTCAACTGGGTACCTTGTCTGAGTTGAGATTCCTGTGTTGATCACGATTCATGCAAAGTGCGAGTAAACCCAGACAGGTTAAGACTACAATTTCTCAACCGGACTTACTGAAGCCTGAAAAGACCCTGTAGTATGCCTATATCTAATATTTATGGAGGCCACTCTGCATATTGTAATTAAAGTTGTCTGCCTTGATAAACTTTTATATCCCTTTTATAGTTTTCAGTGAACCACAGAAACAAGGGTTTAATGTTTTTAAATGTTTACTAACCTGTCAATGATTTTGTTACTGACAATCCAAAGAAGTTGTAGAAAGCAATGGAGCAGAGATAGAGAAGGCTGAATATAAGCAACTTGGTGCTGTTTTTGATTTGATAGAGGGCGTCAATGCTGTCTTCGTAGCGTCCGGTCGGTGCAGAATGGTCAGGAATATAGTACAATATTGGCAGAACTATCTGTAAAATGCAACAACTTAATGACAAAAAAACAGCAAAAAAATTAAATATTTAATGGAAGCAGACCATCATAAATGACACACCTTAACAAAGGTGTAAGCGTCTTAAATGATGAAATGAAATGTTTATTATTTTGCATTTATAAATCATATCTATATGCAACTCTGTGAAATATAATAATACAATAATATATTTATTTCCTCTGTACAGAAAGGATAAAGCCAAAGAGAAACAAGGTTCCTATACAAGATTTGGCAGACCAAAACATCAAACATGAATTTGTTATCTGTTTCTGCTGTTGTTGTTACTGCTGTTGCAGTTGATGTTATTGCAGCTCTAGTTGTTACTGTTGCTGTGAGGGATGGTGCCAGAGAGCCCCCTCGGGGAGAAAACCACAATTTGTCGGGAAGAAAAAAATTATATATATTTTCTACATATTATTAGACTCTAAAATCGATTAAATAAGCCTTTAAAGCTGCTAAATTGTCATATTTTTTTAGGACTTCACCCACTGGACCATTTTCGAAAAACTTTGAATGGCGCCTGAATACGTCCCCTTGCTCTTGTCGAGGACGTCGGGGACCTCAGACGACCTGCCCCACCCCACCAGGCGCCACCCCTGGTTGCAGTTGTAGTTGTTGCTGCTGTAGCTGTTATTGCTGTTGTCATTAGTGTTGCTGTTGTTGCTATTACAATACTTACAAAACTCATGATCAGCACACCAAAGCTTCCTTCCATTCCAACAACCTAGGATTTAATTCCAATAATGAAATAATGAAACTAATGAATTTTAAAAAATAAAAATAATAGTAATGAAAACTAAGAATGTCTTATCTTACACTGCATATTTAAAACTTACTTGAAATCTCTGATCTATTTCATATTTTTGTTTTATAGTATAGTATAACCACTATTTAAAACTTATTCAATAAAAATAATATTATTCTACCATAAGATCATGATTAAAAACACATGATACATGAAAAACAGTTTAATATAAAAACATCAAAAATAGCAAATACATTATAAAAACACTTAAAAACCATTATATATGGTCCATTTCTATGTGGCCCCTACATATCAGCTCTGCTGGTAGGATCACAAAATTAAAATGATGTTGAAATAAAATAATTACTGATTAGTGTAGGTGACATTACCTGCAGTGGAGGATATCCTTTGGTCTTTAGAAACAGTTCTTCTATGATCATCTGGGTGGCACTAATAAACTGGCTCCCAAGAATCAGAACAATTCCTGAAATGACCACAATATAATGAAAATAATATAACAAGGTTCTGAATTCATATATCTATATATACATACATACATACATTCAAACATATAGGCAGATTCAAGGGGGGCCCAGCTCTTATTTACCTTGGCTAATCCCACCTAAATTTTCCAACATTTACAAAAAAAAAGGTGGGGGGGGGGGGAAGAATACTGTATAACATTCAAAATTTTAGTGACAGTGCCAATTCTGGAAATCAAGAAATGCCATAGACATAACATTTTGTACCTCAGTTCCAACCATGGTGGGCCGGCCTAAAGTAGAGGGGACCCTTTTATTTAACCTAGCCAATAACAGTACCACATTACTACTGTATCTCGTCAGTAAATCAATAGAATAAGAATATATGAGTAAACATATTTAAATGCCAGTGACCAATAACAAAATAGCTTAGACAACATTATCAGCCATTTAGATTACTATGGAGCAGTCTATTGAATATATAATTCTATGGGCTGATTAACATGAGGCCCAGCCAGATGTGTTGTCCTCTCCCCATTGGTCAAACCTTTTTTTGAAAGGGGAAATTTCAAATTTAAGTCTGAGAGTGCTGCTTCGCGATTCAAATTTTTTTTTTCTTCAATATACCACTCCATAAATGCCTCATAAGCTTACGCTTACACTATTTTTATATATAGTTCATTGGTATTTTTATTTCTTAATCCTCAATGTTATTGATACTATTTTTAATCTGTTGACTTATCAAATTCATAGAAGATGTAGATGCCAAAACACTATTTTATATATAGTTCATTGATATTTTTATTTCTTTAGTCCTCGTTGTTATTGATACTCTTTTTAATCTGTTGACTTATCAAATTCATAGAAGATGTAGATGCCAAAACACTATTTTATATAGTTCATTGATATTTTTATTTCTTTAGTCCTCGTTGTTATTGATACTATTTTTATCTGTTGACTTATCAAATTCATAGAAGATAAAGATGCCTAAACTTTTATTTATATGTAGTTCACTGATATTATAATTTCTTCAATCCTCAATGTTATTGATACTATTTTTATTCTGTCAAATTATGAAATTCATAGAAGATGAAGATGCCAAAATTTTTTTTTTTATATAGTTCATTCATAATTTATTTTCTTTAATCCTTGATGTAATACTGATACTATTTTTATTCTGTTGATTTATCAACTTCATTGAAGATTACCATGCAATCCCATAAACTGATACATACAACGTCAATGTCGATGTGTTATTCAGTCCCGTAATGAACACTTGAGAAAGTAATCCACAACCATCCAGAAGTTTTCCCCTCGCCCCACTGTTTAGACTTCTTTTTTTTAAGGGGGAAATTCAAGTCAGCCTAACTGGTACTGGTACTGGTATTGAGTATTTATTGCGCCTTTCCCTTGCGGTTATGAAGCGCAAGCCAAGCCTCAATAATTCAGGAAAACAATGGTAGGTATAAAATCAGTCATTATTCAAGAACCCCATGCATTACAATAGTTACTAGTCACAATAAATAACAAAAACAAATAAATAGGTTACAACAGATTACAGTCTAAGTGCCACTTCACACTTCAAATACTTGTGTTTCAATAGACTGCTTTATAATAGTGAATGCCTCATAAACTTTCTTTTTTTTTAAAGGGGGAAATTCAAGTCAGTCTAACTGGTACTGGTACTGGAATTGGGTATTTATATTGCGCCTTTCCCTTGCGGTTATAAACTCAAGCCAAGCCTCAATAATTCAGAAAAACAATGGTAGGCATAAAATTAGTCACTATTCAAAGAACCCCATGCATTACAATAGTACAGTCACACAAACAAAAAAAACAAATAAAAGTTACAACAGATTACAGTCTAAGTGCCAATTCACACTTCAAATTGTTATTCAATAGACTGCTTTATAGTGAATGCCTCATAAACTTACGCCTAAACTTTTATTTATATTTCTTATCTTATTTTATTAAGTTCAAAACCAATGGTGATTTAAACTGCGGCTAACAGGTTGAATCTAGATGTAATAAAATTTATGTGATAATTTAAACAATGATGTTAAAAATTGAAAATAACCTTAAAAACACTTACATAGATTTAACAATTTTACTTTTAAAAACATTCCAACTATCATAAAAGAGATCGATATCTAAACAAGTAACAAGCAGACTATTAAATTGACTGGGAAATCATTGAAAAATTCCCTGTTTTGTGCTATCAACACGACCATATGAAATGTGGAGCAAAAACCTCCTGAGAATATGAGCCAGAACATTCAAATTAAACATAGAAACAAGAGAATTCAAAGACTTATATTTATTTTTATATTAAAAAAATTCATGTCAAAAACAATTCTACGATTTCCAAAAGAAACAAGAGAGACATTACAATTCAAGTGCGGGTACACAGTAAAGTCCACCATTGTTTATGAATCTACAATTCCCAAACATCAAACCAAGCACCTTATTTGCTATTGACACAGTTCACTGATATTTTCATTTCTTCAATCCCTGATGTTATTTATACTGTTTTTATTATGTTCACTTTTCGTAGAAGATTACCACTAAATAAACTCATACCCCACCATTGTTCATGAACCTACAATTACTCCACATCAAAACCGGAATTCATCGAAATCAAGTATCTTATTTGCTTTCGACACAGCTCATTTATACTTTAATTTCTTCAATCCCCTATTTTACTTATACTGTTTTTATTATGTTGATCTTTCATAAAAGGCTACCACTATATAAACCCATTCATACAACTTCAATGTCATGTACTATTCAGTTCCGTAATAAACCAGCCGAAGGTAAGCCATAATCTGAGGGCTCTTCTGTAAAGGTAAGCATTATCATTCTGTATAATTCAGTATCATTCTGATATAATCATAATTAATTTCTCCTTTTTTGTGTGATTGTCTTGTGAGTATTAGGGCATCTGTTATATAAATTAAATTGGCTTACTGTATACCGTGCATTGAAGTACACTTCAGCTAAAAGTTTTTGCTTATAAAATTTTCAATGCATAATTTTATTGATTTTAATTCTTGATATTTCGATTCAGTCATTTAAAAACACAAATTTGCCAGAACCAACTCTTACTGCTTGCACTCATAATATTCCTCAGGGTAACGTAATTTCATTGTAATAATTTTGTTGTACTGTAACCAGAAATTGAATAAAATAAATTAAAAAATAAAATATAATTCATAATCTAGGGCCTACCTGTACTATCATTCCAATAAAAAAAAAATTTACAAGAATTTTTATTATGTATGATGTTAAATGATTAATTTCTTTCCTAGTTATTACCTGGTAACACAAACAATGTGTATACTTATAACATCCATCAAGGAACTGGTAATGAATGTGGTACAAGCAATTCTATTTTTCCTTGCATATTGTGAGGCTGTTCAATTCCTTCACCAGCCAATGGACCACTCAGCAGTAGAGAGAAGACGAGCACACGTTACCTGTATCTTCAAAGACATCACCGATTACATGGAAGAAAAATACAATGTCATCTGGACTAAAGATACTTACATCATCAGCGAACCAAGTAATGGATTTGATCTTGATCGGTTTAGTTTCCATGACCACTATGTCGACAGTCGACACTTACTAAGGATTGACCCTGTCAAGAGGGAGGATAAGGGAGGATACAGGTGCCATTTGCGCTATAATGGTGAAGTATTATTAACATCTAACATTGGTATGCTCACCATTCGTGAAATCCCATCAGATAAATACCCACTCGTTAAACTTGGAAAGCCAACTTACACAATGGGTGAGGAGGTCACGATAACATGTTTGTGTGAAAAGACAAATCCAGTAGCACGCCTGAAATGGGCATCAGAGTACAGACAGCTGTTACGACCAACCACTAATTCCAGAGAAAATAATACACATATTTGGATTGAAGCAATTGTTTCTGCAGTCCCGAATCTCGATGGCATTAAATTTGTATGTAAAATGATTGTAGAAGATGAAACTGCTCCAAGGTACTCACAAAGTGAAGAGCTCCATATCATTGATATCTTGGAAACTACATCTAAGGAACCATCTCGACAGACACATAAACAACAATACATGACACGTTTCCTTTTACCTAAAAATGTGCCACAAGTTGAAATGGATGAAACTTTTGCTAAAGGGGGTACACGGCCAATCGCTTATAGTTTAGGAATCATTGTCACACAAAGTGTTTGTGCTTCAGTAATACTTGTTGCTATGGCAACCTGAACTGTCATTTAGATTAACACTAAAGCCCTAAACTTCTGGCCGAATTTGGCCCACAAAATAGATTAATTTGGCCTGCAAGAAAAAAAATGTCATAAATGTCTTGTCATAAAATATAAGCATCACACCAACATTATGTGAAACCAAACTTTGTCTCTCTGTTTTACTCTGGTCACTGTGTTTTGTCAATAGTGTTTGCACTTAATTTTACATGGTTAATAAAAACTTAGTCTACCACGAACAGTGCTCATAAAAATACAAAGGACAATTGCATGTGGAAAATTGTGTAAATACAGGTAAAATTAATGTTCATGCTCCTTGTTTTTCAAAAACCATGTCTACACTCTCATCCTAGGCTTTTTTTTATTGGGTTCAATCATATTGGTAAAGCGACACTTTAAAGCTCACAAAAAAACTCAATTTATAAGGAACCAGGGGCCTTAGGCCTACAGTATATGTGATCTTGCAGTTTCAAACTGGAATGAATTAGAATAATATTAATATTCAGCTTTACAGTGAGAATATTTGAGGGGTGGGATTTTCTTTTTTTTAAGTTACAAAAAAAAAAGAATTGATTTTTTTCAACACAATTTTGATTTATACTACCGCCGGTTCCATAGCACGGCCACTACGACTGTTTCACGCTTGGGTAACTCTGACATTTTTTTTCCTTGTGGTTGGTACTACTACTACGAAGGTGATACAATGTCGGTTGTTGCGATTTGTACCTTTTTTAACACATTTAATAAGTAAATGAAGCTGGTGAGCTTGACCTGATACATAGTGCAGTAGTTTATTTTAATCACGTGTCTTACTCCAATTAAAGTTCCCTCTTCCAATCCCAAACGACAAAAAAATTAGCTCCATATTGCAAGGAGACCTATAGTGTACGTATATTCAGTTTCTACATTTAAGAAAAAAAACTTTTTTATAACACCCCTCATCTTCTACAAACTTTTATACAGACCGTTTTGATAATCTTTCTTTAAAACTTTTTTCCGCCCGCCCCTTCACTTAAATATTCACTATGTACAGCCTCCAGATCACCAAGGGCTATAATTTGAACCATGCCCCTCAACCCAGTAAATATTTGTTTTATATAACATCAGTAATATAAAGGTTTTACTTTTGGTACTCACCTAACACTGTTTTGGAGCTATAACCTGCCTCCTCATCTTGCAGTACACTGGATAGACCAACAAGTAATAAACCAAACTTCCAAAAGCAAAAATGTAACCATAAACAACATTATCCACATCATCATTATCAACATCACTGACATCATCATTATCATTAAAATCATTGTTATTATTATCTACATTTATCATTACCAACATTATCAACAACATCATCATCACCACTGTCATTGTCATCGTTGTTATCGTTATCAACATTTATCATCATCATCATATTTCTCACTAAGAATAATCATTACCTTATCTTTATCAACAACATAACTGTTCTCAATATTATTATCATTATCAACATAATCATCAAATCATCTTCAACATCACTGTTATCAATAGTATCATTAACATTATCTTCATTATCCTCATAAGCAACATTAGCATAATCATTGTGCTCATCACAACAATTGTACTAAACTAAAAAAAAAAACACAATCATATAATCACCACTAATAACATCATTATCATCATTCAAATAATAATCATAATCACAAAAATCATTGTCAAAACCATCTTCATAACAACAATATTCTTACCATTGTAAGTACAATTCCTGACCAGTGATAACACTTCAATTTCCTTTTAAGGAAGAGCCTCTGAAATATATAAATATACTTTAATCACAAATAGACACGAACATTGAGAGGCCAAGATCACTCAGCCTTATTAATGTCAACCACTTTTGATACACTAAAATATATAAAAAATAGCAACATCACTATTGTCATCATTTGTTGTTATTACTATGTATTATTATTTATTTTTATAGTTTTTATATTAAAGCAAAGCCTACCGACAGAATTCCAGCAAAGACAATTATGGAACCTCGCAACATTTGCCAGACTGAGGCAGTGACATAGAGAAGACCAATACCTGAAATAAATTTATTAATTAATGTATCTTATAATTATATTAATGTATCTTGTGTAAGGCAAGACTTTTTTTATACCTTGATTAGCGAACCCACCGACCTCAAATATTGATGATTTTGAATAAGAATAAAATTTTATTTTTGGCCAATTAGCACACCCGCCGCCACGAAAAAGTGGAAATTTCAGAAAAAATAAAATTATTATTTACTTTTAATTACGCCCTTCACTGCCTTGAAATCTTTAAAGATAAGATATGTATATTTCTTCCTAATTATATAAATTTGAAGAATTAAACCATCCTTTTTTACATTCACCAATAAAATTTTATTTTATTTTCTAATCTGTCTGGATGTTTTTGGCAGACATATGTGATAAATAAGAAAACTAAATTATATTTTTATTCCGCCCTCCTCCGATGATCTGTAAAATAATTTGTACGCAAAACAAAGAATAAAAAAAGTCTCTCGCCTAATACGTTAAATATGTTGCATATTTCTGTACTACTTTTGATATCTGATTTCTTGGTATAGGATAATTACTCTTGTCACTGGTTTAATTCCTACTTAAATCAATTTCTTGTTGATTCAACCTACTTTAACACAAGCATTAAGTATGGCAGTTTTGGGTGAAAAAAATTATTTAAGAATTAATTTAAGTAGGTAAACTTTCTTGTTATTTTAACAATTTAAAATTGAATAATTGCACTTACCAGCTAAAGTTGTTCCAAATAAATCACACAAAGTAGGAATTATAAAGATGAACTGAAATACTCTACATAAAGAAGAGAAAACTTTTAAACATTGGAAACATTGAATATGAAATATTATAAATGATAATGATTCTGTCACTAGAAAATGGAGTTTTTCCTGAATCACTCAAGTTAGCAGTTGACATGTCGACAAGGACGCGAAGCCCCACCCACAAAGTCACGAAAACCTTAGACAATGGCGGCTAGACTCAAATGGATGCGTACACACTTAACAGGCAGACTTCAATCTGTTAATGTTGATGGCCAATTATCTTCTTCAAAATGTATATGTTCCACAGTGCTCTGGGCTCTGTTTTGGGCCTAATTCTGTTCAACATCTACATGTTACCACTGGGGAAACTAATACGGTGTCATAATCTCAACTTTCATAAGTATGCCGATAACACTCAAATATATATATCTCTCAATAAAAATCTACTAGTCCTAATGGTTTCTAATAACAAAATAATTAAAAATATTACAATTATACATAAATGAATGCAAACCTTGGTTGATTCAACTGCTTGATCTGTGTTTCGTCGTCATTATTCTGTATACTAAAACTTTGCCTAAACTATATATAAAAAAAAAGATTATTAATACATATTAGTAAAAAACAATGGTATAAGATGTACAATCAAATACAATTAACTTAATCTGTGGACAAGGACAAAAAAGAGTCAAAACACAACCCCTTCCCCAGCTCCTCCACCCCCATTTACTTACTGAATCAGTAGCTACTGTATATGAATTCCAGCTGCCCCCGTACTAACCTGTTTCCTTTCATAGTGTCGAGATATTAGAAGCGCAACAAGGCATGTACTTTCACCTAAAAAAGTTATATTTGAAATCAGTTTTAAAATTAACTTTATTTTTGTTAGATTCCAATTCCACTTATTGCATTAAACATAATCATTAACTTCTTTATTATACTTTTATAATTTGATGTTAAATTTCAATTATATTTTATATGAATAGACCTAGCAATAAAATATTTTGTAACTTCTATTCAAAACAGGTCCATGGATTTTGTAAGCCGCTTATTTTCTACTGTCTGCAAATAATGGTGATTTTGAATCAAAATATTATTTTATTTTTGGCCAATTAGCCACCATGAAAAAATGAAAATTCAATTCAATTCAATTTTCTCCCCCCCCCCCACCTCCTCTGATGATCTTCAAAAAAATAAGTTTGTTAAAAAAGGAATAAAAAAAACTAAATTAGGCCTAAAAAAAAATCAATTGTTTGCCCTTCCTTTTTTGAAATAATAAAAATGGGCAGGTTCGAAAAGTTTTCATTTTTTTTAAAAGATACTCAAATGGAATAAAAATAACCCACAGAGGCCTAGAATGGCAATATCTTACATCAGACAACAACTTTAGACTAATTTGTAGGGCATCTGGCAAAACAAAAAATAATGCACTCAATTTTTTTTAAATTTGTAAAAAAAACCTAAAAAAAACCTTTTTTTTTTAAAAAGTTTTTTTGTTTTTCCGTCCTATTTTTTTCCAGTGAGTTAGGACGGAGGCATTGACATCTAACCCAGAGACATTTTATTAAGAAAAAAATCTATTTTTTTGCACATCCCAATTGAATGCATAGGGGCCTAAATATAATATTTTTGCTTGCTGCACAAAAAGTTTTTTTCCAAGCCTGATGGTCTTTATGTGTATGTATCAAAAAATGCAAATCCTCTAGAACTTACCTATAAACATAAGGACAGTTTGAAACCAAGGATGGTCAAATTCATGTACGTCTGTCCCGTTTCGTCCAACAACACTATATCAAAACACAAAAAACATATTAGAAAATATTTTTTGCTGTAAGTAGTGTAAAAAGAAATTTCACAGATAGTTATTGTTGAGAACTAGGAGTAGAGGGGAGGGAGGTGTGGCCGAGACTTATTAGGAGACCCAAACATTTTGGCAGCTGGGTAATGAAAAAAAACCCTGCAAGATTGCATCATCAGTTTCACTACCTACCAAAGCCATTGCAAATACTAACCTATTAAGTATTATTATGGAAATTTCAAATAGGGCCTAGGAGCTTTGAGTAAGGCCCGGGCTAGGCTATTATAGCCTATGTATTGTCAATACAATACGCAATTAACCATTACATTTACACCTTAAAGTTTCACCCAGAGAGGGAACTGGGACTATATAGGGGCCTACTAGCCGGTCTCTAGTAGTAATACTAGGCCTGACTACTACTAGCTGGCCTAGCCTAGGCATATCATACATAGTCTGTGTAGGAGGTCAGCAGTAGCACTCTCGCTGGGTTAAGTGGTGCCTATCCAGTTCGGACCGTAGGCTACGGCAGGCCTAGGTGCTAGTTCAAAATTTGACGAGGTAACAAAACTACCTAGTTGAATAATACCAAAAAAAACAAAAACGAAGTACATGAATTGACTTACTTGCAATCATTTTGGGCCTTCTTACTTAGCGTGTTGATACTTCCAGTAACGAGCATCCCAAGAGCCAATAACATCTGCTTAGCTGTAAGCGCCATGTTTCGGTTCTAATTCTTTAAACGATCACCTGATCAACATTATCACATGCCATATTGTTTGCTTCTTATTGGATGGAAGTTCGCGGAAGTTCAAAGAAATAATCAGCATCGGCAATTTATAAGATTAAGATATAATTTTTTGAAAATTATAAAAACAGGGAAATTTTGATTTTTTAAAAATATAAACAAATCAATGCTTTAATTTATTTGTACAAACAGTACTCTAGGGGAGGGGGTAGACACTTTTGTACACTCTTACATATGCATAAAATGTTGATTCAAAATAACACGCAATATGTCAAATAATGGTAAAATTATAATGGAACCATGGATTTAATATAAATTTTTAAGCAACTGAGTACATTGCTTTAGTTGACTGTTTTTGCAAAATCAACATTTTTTTGTACACTTATAGATGGGATGGAGGGGGTACTGAAAGAGTACTGTTTGTACACTTGAGAAAATGCTGATAATTGTGAACGACCCCTTAATAGGCCCTATAAAAAAAAGTACTGTATTCAAAGTTTATCACCCTATAGGCTCAAAAGTGATGAGGGACAGAGGCTTTTATTTTTATTTTGCTAAAGCCAAAAATATCACCCTTGGGTTGTTTGCTGTTGCATTGATATATAATGATATATAAAAAAAATGAAAAAAACCCTTTTTTTTCAACAACAACAACAAAAAATTTCCACCCAAATTTTTTCAATACCATAGAAGACATGCGGGCGAGAGTGATAAACTAATCATTTTTTTTTTACCATGGGCCATACATGTAAGAAAAATATTTTATACACTTTACAGTCTATTATGTTATGTTAGTAACTGGCAGAGAAAATTTATGATCTATCATCATTTGAAACAAAATCTGCTGAATATTTTTAACCCATTTTTTTTTTCCAGAAAAAGAGCAATCCAAAATATTTTTTTTGAAACATTGATACATGTCATGGTTTAAACTTTTTTAAATAATGGAAGATGTAGAGAGTTAGCTATAAAATGTGGTAATTTTAACTACTTTTTTTTTTTTTGCACAGTTAATTTCAGTGGGAGAGCCACCCCTGGGAGGCACATACTTTTTTCCTTAGATACACCAGTGCACCTCTGCCAAGCCCCACATCATTAGAATTGGTAGTAATTCTAGCTAGACAATAACCAATAATTATACTTGAATCACAAATTATATTTGAATCATAAAAATTTTATTGTTTCAACTGTGACATAATGCTCGCAAACATGCCATTTGTAAAATTTGCAGGAATATGTACAGCAAATAGAATAGTTATTTACATTAAAATAATCAAGGTATAATGACAAGAAAATTTTACAAACAAATCTGCACAATATTTATCTGTACGATTGATAAATGTTAATTGTATTTTAGAGTAAAAAGAACTATTTTTGTACATAGCAGAAACAAATAATATAGTGTTCTTATGATTCCAACCTTAGGGTCTGTGACAAATACTTTAATGTTGCCATAGGTGTAATACTGTACTCATGTGGGCTATACTGTACTCACAATGGGTTAAAGACCTATGCTTCAGTATTGGCACCAATGTGTGTGTGGGTGTGTGTGTGTGTTGCGGAACAGTGCCCCCCCCCCCTTCCATCGGGAAGAGCTGGCCCTTCTATCTGGGGAGAAATATACAATTCGTCAGGAGAAAAAAAATCGACTACCCCACTGAGGACATCGGACACCCCATCAGCAAAATCCTGGCACTATATACTATTGTACAACATACTGCACAAGTAATTTCTATCATAGTTCATTTAATGTTCTTTGTTCTTGATTTTCTCAAAACACTCCATAAAAAAATTATATCCAGACACACACTGTGCCGACGGTGATCGGCCAACGCGATTCCATGGGGAATGCAATGTGACAAGGTGTGCATCAGATTGTTTTAAATGACGATATGTTCAGACTGCCATCAACAATTAGCAGATAGTGTCCTGTCATCGAACACTCACACAGAATGGTTTGGACTGTCAGCATATTTCATTTTTATTTTCCTCAAAAAAATGGTGGACTGAAAGTTGATCTTGTTCTTGATGGCACACCAGTCTTTGGTGGTGTTGGTATGGGACCTTGTTGATCTTTACAAAGAATGTTGTCTTTCATCTCTTCCTGGTTTTCATACTCAAAATCGGATGAGGATATTACGGTGTTGGTAGAGGCTTGTGAATCCGAACGATAGGTTGATGTCGCTGAGGCAGCTCTAGAGATTGAAGCCTCTGGGTCGGTGCGTGACAACATAGCTTGTGGCTTCACTCTCACTAGCAATGATGAAGAATCTTTTCTTCTATCTGGCGTTGATGTCAGATCTTTTTCATCTGCAGTTGATGTCAAGTCCCTTCCATCTGAGGTTAAACTTTCATTCAGTCCATCTGGAGTTAATCTAGAGTCCCTTACATATGAGGATGATCTGGAATTCCTTCCCTTTGAAAATGATCTTGAATTCCTCCCATCTGATGTTGAATTTCTTTCATCTCTAGGTGAAACATAATCATTTCTAATGTTTTGACCAGGTGTTTTTGAATTCTTCACAACAACATTGTCTCCAGAAATTGTTTCTGTGTCATATTTTACAGCAGAAGTGTTTTTACTGGCAACTTGCTCAGATGACTGCTTGGTATTCAAATTACCAGACACAGTATCTTCAGAAATGTCATATCTGGGAGATGATTCTGCAAGTTTTCCATTGTCAGTGTGGCCTAAGCTTGGATCAGGCACTGGTGTGCTTTCCTCATCATAAACCTCTGTGTTAGAGCAAGTTGGTGTGACAGAAAATGATTCCTGATGGTTTGACAGCGAAGTATTGCTTGGCAGAGATGCCGAGCTATTGGCTCTACTGGAGGACAAACTCTTGGACGTCACTCTGGGGTTTTTGATCAAATCTTGAATGATGCTTTCTGATAATGATGGTATGATTGCTGGAGCTGAAACAAATAATAAATCTCAATTAATAATAAAACAATAACTGATCCTAATTACTTTATTTATTATTAGTTTGTTTAATTCTTTATACTGGGTACCCAGTTCAGTAGTAACCGTCTGTTCTCCCAAAGGGCACAGTTATGCCTCAATAACAAAATCCCAAAATGCGACTTAGGGAGTGGAGTTTTCAGTTGTGAGAAAAAATCCTGCTATCCCAGGAACTGAACCTAGAAACCTGGGATTTGGGAGGAATCTTAATCATGAATCTATTTATCTCCACTTCTTGTTTTTTTTTATATATATATAAAAATATTACACAACAGATTCTGCTAATAATATTCACCTAATATTATAATTTATTAACTTGGTTACCATATTTTTCATCAAGCAGAATAATGTTGTATTGCATTTCATTATGCTCTTTTTCTTTTATCATCGTACTGTGTTTTAATAATATATCTTAATACTGTGTTTTAATAATATATCTTAATATTTTTACTGTCTTTTAATGTTTTTATAGTTTATCTTACTGTTCTAACATTACTTAATACTTATATTTATGTTTAATCGCTTAGCTTCAAAGCACATTTCTGTTATATTTATGTATAATAGACTGAATAAAATGAATAAAAAATGAATTGAATGTAATACCGTTTCCATTTGTCATACAATCCCAGGATGATGTTACTGAGTACTCCACCTCACTCTCCTCTTGAACTGTACTCAGCCGACTCCGGTTGTGACTCATCTCACTCTTGGCCTCTTCCAACAGCAGCTTAAGAACATCATTGGGTAACGCTGCTACCATGTTCTCATCTTCAGGCACAGGAGTAGACACTTGTAACGACACGGATGAGGTCTGGCTAAGGGTCCGGGGAGAAGAAGCATCTACTGTTGACTGAGTCTGTGAATTAAATCCATGGGGTGTTCTGGGAGAGGATACTGCTCCATGGGGTGTCCTGGGAGAGGATAATGCTATGGAATTTGTCTCGGATGTCGCACGTGAACTAACATCTGTGAATTCTTCGTAAAGTTCTGACAGTTGGGCCTTTGACATTCTTGGTGATATAATCTAAAAATGAATAATATTAATAAAATAATCGCACAGTTTCATCTGATTTAGTCGATCAGTTCTACAATCATTAATAATTATTTATATTATTAATAATTATTAATAGGAAAACCTTAGAAAGTTAACAAAGTTGTGTTATACACAGGCAGACTGACTGTTATTGTCTGTCATTAATTAATAATCCTCAATATTATTGTTATTAATAGGAAAACCTTAGGAAGTTAACAAAGTTGTGTTACACATGCTTGACTGACTGTTATTGTCTGTCATTAATTAAGAACAATAAATAATTCTAAATAAGTGAACTCATGTTTGAATGTACAAAAGCAAACACAAGGGTAACTTCACTCTTGGAACACACAAATAATAATTTCAAAAAAATTGATGATACACTTAGGAACATTCAACAACGATTTTTGATAAGTCAACTGACATTAAAATGTAAACATATACAGTTTTGATAATAAATGTCATAATAGAGGGAAAAAAGAACTGAAAATACATAAAAAGTGATTAAATTTAAGGTTATCAATGGGAAGTTTTATATAAAAAGTACAAAACTAATATACATATCATAATTGTGTAATGGAAAAGTATTGTAAATGTCACTGTGTTCTTTTCATGCAGAAGACTTTTATTAAAGCATGTTTTCATGAATTACTGTGTAAAACACCAGATCACTTCAGTTGGTGTACCCAACAGCATTGGCGACTAATTCCGTCATTAATAGATTAACATGGCAGATACTGTACATACTTTTTTTAATAAAACAAATATTACTTTACCTCCATTTCCACACGGTTCTGTAATTTCACCAACTCCTTCTCGATGTTCTTTAACTTTTCCTGCTGATTTCTCATATCTTGGTTTTCTTGCAGTACTTTTTCTCCTAACTCCATCACATCCAGAGATTCTCGAAGGTCACTGATGTGTGTCAGTGCCTGAAGAGCACAAGCACAATTGAAAATCATTGAAAACATACTGTATATATCTATAATAAATAAGGCCTTGAAAGCGGTGGTGTATCTCAGGGTATGTGGGGGGGGGGGGCGCATGCCACTCCTCAGAAAAGCTTATACCCCCAAACTCCCCAATTATAAACGTCAAAAAAAAAAAAAAATCATGCTCAAATAGTTAAAAAATCACCATATCACTGTATTTTGCAACCTACTGCCACCCTCACTTAATCGTACTTTACAATTTAGGAGTGCCCCTGGAAATATAATACATACAAATTATCTTTTTTTGAAAAACGATAACATTTTGAAAGACTGGTAAACATACTACAGAAGGATGGATGTTTATTTCTCTTGGCGTGCTACAAATTGATTCAAAGTCTTCTGCCGGCATCAATTCCTTTAGTTTTTCATCGATATCCTTTAGGGCCTGCATGTCAGTCTGGTCAGGATGGTACCCAATGCCTGGCACCGAATGTAATTGCAAGGTATGTAAATTCTCATCATTCTGAACATAAGAAAAGTGCATTGTCTATTCTAGTATAATTATTGTCATTTTTAAAAGATGGTTCATCAATATACAATTACATTTTTTTTTTCATTTCATTTCTTTAGGCACGAGCGCCAAGGATATACCAATCAGTGAACTTAATCACTATCCTACGTGGCATATCCATTAAACAACAGGGGACTGAATGGACCAGTACGGGGTAACCCCTTACTCTTCTCAAAGGATGTACTGGGTTCTTTAAAGTGCACACAAGCGAAATGCGTATACTGGGCTTATGGTTTAAAGTCCTTATCTGAGAAGACTTGTTCCACCACCGGAACCACTGGTGAGTGAACCGTTTGATCCAGCACCGATATTATAGCTGAAGGTTACAGTGATCCTGACTTAACTGCTCGGCCAATCAACTCAATTGATTAATTAATTACATTATAAGAATGATAATGATAATGACTAAAGAGATTCTGATTAAGATAATAATGAATATGATGAAATAACTGCTGACATCATATTGTTATTGATGGCTTTGATTCAGCTTTATTATTATATTCTTTATCATAATCACCTGTTTATTGTCATCGCCATCACCTAACATCTCTACATCTGCCAGCAGATCTTCAAGTCGACGCTTCTCATCATCCGTCATTGCGATAACGTTGCTGGCATCTGAGGCAAGCTGCAATGGAAATATCAACAACTTAATTCATGATCAATGCATTAAACACTGTGTGAAATTTTAGAAAGAAATACACCAGCCTTCTACTTGCTAAGTAAGATACCAATCAACTCCTATGAAAAGCACAAATCTACTTCAATCCAAGGCACCAATATACTTCTAGGCCCCACACAACTCCTGTCCTAGTAACACACAAGTCTACTCCTACCCAAGGTAAGGATCAATCATCTCCTATGCCTGTATTCCTGTCTACTCCTATTAAAATAAGGCACTCCTATCCAAGATAGACACTAGTATACTTCCATCCATATACACACCAATAAACTCATGTCCAAGTAAGGCACTCCTATCCACAAAAGGCATTAATTTACAATAATGAATTTATTGATGACAATTGCTGCAACTCATTCGAAACGTTGAGACATTCTCATCAAAACAACAGTTCTTTTCAGAATTCTCTATGTGGTGTATCGCCAGCATTTAATATATCACTACTTCACCATGCAATTTTTAAACAATAAAATTAATCTAAAATTAAAGACATATTTACCTGAATGTTTCTCTGAATGAAATTTGTCTCGTCTTTTGGATCTGCACAATTTTTCTTTGTCTTTTTTCCTTTCCTATCCTTGCTATTGTTTCTTTTCTTGTTGCTGCCGGAAGTTTGGCGACTATTTGTGGAGAACTTTCCTGTAGATGCTAAACAAAAAAATATGCAGTCTTAATTCTCCTCTTATTTATGATTAATAAAAAAAAAATATTTTTTTTAGATATACTGTTTATATTAATGAAAAATAATAAATTAAATAATCGAATTAACTATTCTGTTATTTCCATCCAATTACAAACAAGAAAACATTTTCCTCTCAAATGATTACATCAATTCATATACATTTTGCCCTTTGATGGCATGATGTAGAAATAAAATTATGTATTTAATTGAAAAATGAATAACAAGTCGTCTGTAAAAATTAGTAAAAACATTTGCCAACACTAAACTGAACTTAGCAAAGAAGTTTAGGGCTATTCATTAGTTAAAATATAACAATTAAAAAATATTTTTAAAATGTCATTGCATTTTAAACAGGAATCACATGGCCTACTTGATCTTGAAGTGCTAGCACCCTCACTAGTGGCATCTGAATACTGGGACTGGCCATCTTTGAGGTCAATAGGTTGTGTAGCAAACAAAGGTGAGAAACAGACTTCCTCCTCTTCAGTCAAGATCCCTACAAACGTGTAAATAAATAAATATACAATTGAGAAAGAGAAATTTGATGAAATATAGAGATTGATAAAATATAAAAGATTCTTTGATGGCATTTTAAATCTACAATCGGAAATGTCGCTGTATCATGAAATAAACAAAATTTGTCATGGTTTTTGCATACTACACTTAATGGACCATTCCACTTGGATAATGTTGCTAAGGTCCCATGTGTTTGTGAGACACGCTCATATTCCTTGCCCTACTCTGATTGGTCAGCCATTAAGTTTGATTGACACTTCAGAAAGGGCCATTGTTTGAAAAATATATATTCGGATCTGGTGGAACCATTTTAAAGGTCCAAAATAGAACTTTAAAGCATCATGTGTTTTATGTAATAGAATAATAAACAATTAAATAAATTTACACAAAATTAGTATCTTACCCTCATAGTGTTTTGGAGGTGGTTTGAGGGCCAGGAATTTGGTGGTGTTCTCCGCTGACTCTTTAGTCTCATCTCTGCCCTCTGGTTTTGCTCTTTCCAGTTCCTCCAGCAGCTTCTGTTCCAGAAGAAGTCTCTGTCGTTTCACGTCTTTCTCTTTCTTCACCTTCTTTGCTAGGATGCGATCTAGTTTCTGCATCTTCTCAATTGCCTCCTTCAACTTTGGGTCCATTAGAGTGTCATCTTCATCCCTATCCTCCTTCTCATCCTCATCGTGGTCTGTCTTTTCTTCCCTTACATCATTACCAATACCATTGATATTATATTTGCTTGATATTTTACCTGTTTTAGAGGAAGATAGACACAATATTGACATATCAGCAGGTTGTATATTTAATTCAATTTGAGTTTTTATTCTTTAAGTTTAAATAGTTTATATAATATGGTTAAGACTGAATGCAATGTGATGTTGCTTTTGGAAGAAAAACTGAATTATTTGAATAAATGAAAACAATTATTCATTTTTATTATGATGGAAGTTTGAGCTTATTTTGTTGCCAGTTACATGATATAAAATTAATGAACAGAACTTGATTAATAACCATATTATATTCTTTTTCTCTTTCTCTTCTCTCTTCATGTCTCTCAACTTATAGAATTATGGAATGAGTCGCAGAAGAAACAAGATGTGTATAAGAGACAGGGCCAAGGCTGCAGTAGGCCTATAAATATTATTTGTTAATAATATTCATAGTTTTGATGTTTTCATGCCCTTTTTCTTCCATATGGCAACAATGATAGCCACAACACCTCGCTCAATTAAATGCTCTCAGTGAAATGCGATGAGCTTGTCCCTTGTGGCTTTTGATGTTTCTAAAACCTTAAAACTATGGCTATATAGTTCATAATATTAACTATTATTAGATAATCAAAAATACCATTGTTATAGAAAATAAACACTGTCTTGTACTTTTGCGTTGGTGTGTGGTAGTATCATGCCTTTATTTTTAGTAAGAGTGGATTAAAATTATCAAATGTCCATGTCCAAGACAATAATTTAAAAACTACTACTAGTACTACTACGCCTACTTAATACAAATATTTTTTTAGAAATGGATGAAGAAGAATGTGATAAACGAAGGACTGAATGCTTTGACGATATGACCGACCTTGAAATGCAGTTTTCAGATTTAAAAGAAATGTAAGTTGAAACCAACTATGTCTCAAATTAAAATGTTCAATGTAGAAACTACTACTCTATGTTTAAACTTAAAACTGTATGATATGATTAATGATTAATGAATGAACTTTGAACTTCCAACACGTACGAGAAACCTCTGACATGAGTACAGCAGAATCTTAGGAGGGTCACATTTTTGTAAGACTTGGTAGAACTGCAGGCGCGGATCCAGTTTGGGGGAAAGTGCCCCCCGCTTTGCCACTGAATTTTAAAATTTCTATGCATATCAAGTATTGAAATAAGAGCTACTCACTTACTATTCTGAAAATGTTGTGCCCTTACCTGGCCCACCCTTGAAAAATTTTGGATTTGCCGCTGGAACTGTAACACTTGCATCTTGTTTTTATTTAATAGATTATATCATGAGCGTTTGAGTCAAGTTGACTCAAAACTTGCTGAGGTACAGAAAGGATATGCTATAGAATACCTAAAACCTCTGAAAGAACTGGAAGAACATACTCAAATGACATTGCACATATGTGGTATCCTGCGTAAACTAAAACTTAAAAATATTGAGAATGCCTACGAATGCGAAGGAAAAGCCGCATTAGAACACTATGAGGTATAACAGCAATTTTGATATTATTTTATGTAATATTATTACTTTTAAAAATAATTTTTGTGTATTGCTATTAGCTTATAATTTGATAATTAGAATTTAAAAAATATTTTATTTGTTAATCTGTAATTTAAAAATTATTGTGTAGACGTAATGAAATTGTTCCATCTGAAGAGTATGCATTTTCATTGAATAGCACTCCATCAATTTGTTTAACTTTTTCATTCCCCATCTTTAGAGTGAGAAGATTCTGTTGAAAGATGCTTTCCGTGCGGATTTAGAGGAAAAAATACGAAAGTTAGAGGAAGATAGACACAATATTGACATATCAGCAGGTTGTATATTTAATTCAATTTGAGTTTTTATTCTTTAAGTTTAAATAGTTTATATAATATGGTTAAGACTGAATGCAATGTGATGTTGCTTTTGGAAGAAAAACTGAATTATTTGAATAAATGAAAACAATTATTCATTTTTATTATGATGGAAGTTTGAGCTTATTTTGTTGCCAGTTACATGATATAAAATTAATGAACAGAACTTGATTAATAACCATATTATATTCTTTTTCTCTTTCTCTTCTCTCTTCATGTCTCTCAACTTATAGAATTATGGAATGAGTCGCAGAAGAAACATCAGCGTAAATCAGATTCTCTTCATCCAGATAAGAAGAAAAAACCTGTAGCTGTATCAGATATCCTTTTCAGACATACAGTATTGTGTTTGTTTCAAATAATTCTATATCTGTTTGATATTTATTATAACATGCTATATCTACACAGAATGCATAATGCCAAAGCATATAGCCTCACATTACTCATGCACGGTCCACACTCAAATTTCCAGTGACAGATATCTTCCATTTTCCCATATAGATTTGTATAATGTCACTCCCATCACTCCCATATCAATCAATCAATAAATCATTCAGTTTATGTGTGGTGCCATCCCAACAGTCAATGCTCATGGTGCCGTCCCAAAAAAAGGGATGATTAAAAACGATGCGTCTTGGCTAGTAACTTAAAACTGACAGATATATCTTATATTGGCAGATTACATGTATTTATCGCATAAAACTTGATAAGTATGTGAATAGAAAAAAAAAAACTGTCTTAAATTTTGATATTCCAACCATGTGACAATTTATTTGCTTAACAATATTTACGTCCTTTTATCGTGTATATGTTGAAAGAATTTGAGATTCTCGAAGATTGGACAGCAATTATGAAGGTACAGTAATTGATTTTTCAAATTTTTATCAATAATTAGTATTTAAAAAATATTTAGCTTATATTTGTTGAAACATAAAATTGAGTTTAGTGTCACAACTTATCTTAACCCAAAGGCAAAAGAAAATGTGTTTATTATGTAACATTTTCCCAAACAATTATAGTAAGTTTTTTTCATACTGAATGTTTTTTTTTTTAATTATTTCTATAGGCAAGGGGAATCAGTTCTAGAAGGAAGTCTGATCGTAAGTGAAGCTTTATTACCACAATATATTCACTCCTAGCATTGATTTGTTTAACATTCCTAATCTACATATTTGGAGAATAGTAAAAAGTTCCACTTATACAGTGCATAATACAATAAGCTTCTAAAAAAAATTAAATATATAAAATAAATTAAATTATAAAATTAAAAAATATATGAAAATATACAAAATATATAAATAAATATATAAATATATATATATATATAAATATATGTAAATAAATATAAAATATATAAAAAAAATTAATAAATGAAAGAAAAGCTGAAGCTTGTGTTAAAATTCTGCGTCTCAGGATTCTGTGTTTAAATCATGTAAACACTGGTTTTTTTTCTTACCACTAAAAAGGTGAATTCCTTTTTACTTCTTTTATTTTATTACATTGTCCAACTCACAACAAAATGGCCAAATAGTGTTATATATAACAATTTGTTAAAATACCAATAACAAATTTACAGACACAAAAAGACGAAGTTAATAAAAATAACACTTAATTTAATGACTGGCTTGTCATTTGATATTGGGAGAATGACTATGAAATTAACAGAATATTTTTTTCTTAAAGATGTGTACCATTCTGAGGGCCACAGGCACCCCTACAGCGCTAGGTACGAGGATGGACGACTGTACTACGAGGGTACATGGTTCAGCAGGTCATCACGCGTTGTCATTGAAAAAAGAGATGATCCACCTGTCCAGTAAGTAGATTACTACAGTGGACTGAGGAGGACTCAGTAGCACCACTAACAAATCATCTGGGGTTTGGCGTGGGGGTTGGGGCTATAGAAGAACTGTAGCCCTTTTTGAAATATAATGGTTTAAAATTATAACAACTTTTGATAATAAAGGATTTAAACTAAGCAAAAACCAACCCCACACTTATCTGAAAATTAGCACAGCTAAGGACATACAGAAGCTAAAGCCAACATACAAAACTGGAGTGAACTTGTCCAAGGTTTGATCTATGCAGGTAAGGTAGAGAAGTGAACTGGTTACAAAACTATAAAACAAAGTTTTTGAAAGTGGAATGAACACACAAGGAGGAGTGCAATTGCATGCCTGTGGCAGTCTAGACATCCAGAATTAGCATTCTCTGACTTACAGTTGAATATAATTTTCTTTCTTCCCCATTTTTTCAGTTTTCGCATTTTTTTGTGGTGGGTGGGTGGTGTGGGGTTGGGATGCGGAGGGAAAAGTAAACCGCATTTTTTAATCCGCCCCTTGATTTTGACCTGAATTGTGCTTGAACTTATATTCAGATTATGTTTCCTTTTTTGACAGTGGAATTATCACATCCATCAACACAAGTGAGATCTGGTTGAAGTTACCTGATGGTACAAAGTCCAAACTGTACCTCTCCAACTTACAGAAAGGGCGATACACCATTAAGCACCATACGTGACTTTGGCAAACAGAATGAAGAGAGCGATCAATGAATTTAGCAATTGACATTTCATATGACCATGAAGTTGCTACCGTTAGGCAGACATCATTTTAAAGTCCCAAATCGATCAATTCCATGTGTTATTGTGGTTAGAACACTGGAGTTCACCTTGCGCATGATTGAGCTAACTCAATTGTTTGATTTGTGAACAAAATAAACAATAAAGAAGAGACTCACTGAGGAAAGGAATCTGGAATTATGCTGGCTCTTCGTACATCACAGCAGCGGTGTTTTATTCATACAGTTGTGTATGACCATGCTGCTTATTGTCCAGCTCGGAATTCAGAGATAGGAAGTGCAGTTGAGGGCGCACTCTAGTATACTATACTTGGTGGTGCATGTTGGGATCATTTCAATGACGACTCAACAATCAGCAGAAAATGTTGTGTCAGTCTTGCACTCACACGCTTTAAAATCAACAAAACCAGACTGTTTAAATTAAGTATATTATGTTGATTATTTATATCTCTTGGTTCATAAAGGTTAAAAGTTATTCGCATACTGTAAATGTATATTTGTTACAGTGATAGATCCAGGGGTGGCATAAAAGGCACTCGACCCCCAGCAGCTGCCAACTAAATATCTAACCTAACATGAGTTTAATTAGGATAACATGGTATTGCAACTTCTGTAGTCAAAGAAAATAAGGCTGATGTGGTATGGACCCTCAATCTGTAAAAGTTGCTAGCCAGGCCCCCTCTATTTTAAATTTCTTGATTTAACACTTTTATACAAATGAATTTTGTATGTAGCCTTATAGGCATGTAATTAATTGATAAAAACAAATGACTTTTCCATCACGATTTTTGGTTACATTGTCCCTAGACAACTCAGACTTGTCAGATTAAAATAATGTGATAACCAAGAAAAAGTGACCTATAAATTTTCATTCTGTCTCATTTGCTTGAAATTTTGGCACTTAAGGCAAACTATTAGGTGCTACAGAAATTTTGTATTTGAAGACATGGTTACTAAAATGCACCTTAATAACTAGAGAAGCCTGTAAATCACTTCTGATTGTTACAAAGGAACAAATTATAAAATGTAGCGAACCATTCCACCCAACCTGCCAGCATTGTAAATTGTTCACATATTTAAATTTGGTTGCTTAGAATGTTTCCATTGTATTACTGCCATGTAAATTTGTGGTTAATAAAGCTCTGTCCAGGTTATCACATTTTCTTTGACAAAAAAACTTCTGTATGCCCCCATATATATTCATGATGTGCCTATATATGATCATGATGTGTCCATATATAGTCAAGATGTGCCTATATATGGTCATGGTGTGATAATCATGACCATATCTAGGCATGTCACATGTTTTTGTCAAATAAAATGTGGTAGACTGGACAGGGTGTAAGGATAAACATACACTATTCATAAATCTGTCTGTCAGACTTAATAATGTTTTATCAAACTTTATCTGTTTGAATAAATCGAACATTCTCTAAATTCCAGCATGAAAAGACATCATTTGTTTTGATCAGATATCAGATTAGCATACAATTTTGGAAGAAGTCTGATCAAATATTGTTGAATATGACAGTAATAGTGTATGGCTGCCTTTAAAATTGTTTTTGTTTATAAAAGCAAAATTTGTTGATGTAGATATTTTATGTATATTTTTTATAAAGTGTAATGTGTAGCTCTAATGGTGATTGTAGTAATATTGTAGTGATACTCAACAAGTTTGATATGGTTGGTTGAAATTCTTATTTGTGATACAATGTACACCAAGGATAACCCACCAAATTCCGGAGACTTACTTCCAGTGTGGTCCTTATTCTGATCAATTTACAATTATCTGCTTCTAGGTTCATTATAGAGTCACTATGAAAAAATTACCTAATTGATAATTTTTTTATAGCTTAATATAAATAATTTTCTCGCTTAAGAGTTTTATTTTTCTTGCTTCCAAAATGTAAGAGCATTATGAAATATAGAATTGGATTTATGATTTGTACAAACATTATTTTGCAGTTTAGCATTTCTTTTGTCCTGGTATATACATGTAGTTTTTTTCCTCTATTTAAAAAATATTTTCAAGGGAAGCTGTGTGGGCAACTTAAAGCCATTGTCGGGAGGAAAAATTAGTTTTGATATACTGTACAACTGATTTTTCCAAGACACAAAAACCATATTTGACCAAAAACTCGGGAGCATTTAATGAGATACAGATTTTTTATTATTTAAAAACTGGAGGAAAAAAGGGTTACGTCCGTCTCCTCTCCCCTGCCCCCCAGTTTTTAAATATTCACAAATATGTATCTCGTATTAAACGCTTCCATTTTTTTTTTTAATATGCTTTTTGTGTCTTAGAAAAATAAGTTTTTAATAAGATATTTGTAATCAGTTGTTTAGGTCAATATTTAGATATAATGTCACCTAAATATAATATAAACTTAATAATATGCTTAATTTGTATATTTCAATGAGCTATTAGCTATATAAGTTAGATAAACCATTCCTATCATTACAAAAACCCTTTAACATTGGGCTGCAAATTTTAAAGATTTTAGTAGAAAAACGTCTGTAAATCATTGAAATTATTGATTTAATCTTGTATAACTTATTGAAAGTTGATAGTTTCCCCCCCCCCCCCCCCCCCCCCCCCAGTTTTTAAATATTCAAAAATATGTATCTCGTATTAAACGCTTCCATTTTTTTTTTTTTTTAATATGCTTTTTGTGTCTTAGAAAAATGAGTTGTATAACATATCTAAAAATGTTTTTCCTCCTGAGTCTTGCTTTAAAATAAGTTTTTAATAAGATATTTGTGATCAGTTGTTTAGGTCAATATTTAGATATAATATCACCTAAATATAATATAAACTTAATAATATGCTTAATTTGTATATTTCAATGAGCTATTAGCTATATAAGTTAAATATACCATTCCTATCTTTACAAAAAACCCTTTAACACTGGGCTGCAAATTTTAAAGATTTTAGTAGAAAAACGTCTGTAAATCATTGAAATTATTGATTTAATCTTGTATAACTTATTGAAAGTTGATAATTTATGGGTTTCTTTTATAATAATTCTATCAGTGATTGATTTATTGACCTAATAAACTTGAACAGTGAAGTTTAACATTTAAATTGCATTTGCATTGTCTATTTTCGTAAGTTGTAAACTTCTGATTGGAAATTAGAAGATGCTTTCCTTATGAACTAACACATTAAACACAGTATCAGGGACGGATGAAGTAGGGGGTTCCCCCGTTTTGCCTCTAAATTTTAATGCATATCAATGTTGCGTGCTACTTACTTATCTATCTGAAACTGCTGTGCCCCCCCCCCCCGCACCCTCCGAAAAATTCTGGATCTGCCTCCGAGTATATTTGTATATAAACTAAAAATTAAAATTGGCCTATTGGCCTACAAGTATTGAAAACATTGTGCTTTTAAACACAATAAATTCAACATCATTGGAAAACAGTTGAGAAGAGTGGCCAAGCGGTAAGGAAAGGGCGCTTCTCGTCCAGGGTTGGGTTAGTAAAACCTTGTTTTCTAAGGTAAGGACTTAAAATTGGAGGTCCAGTGTACACATTTGGCTTGTATGCATTTTAAAGAACCCATTGCATCTTTTGGAAAAGAAGGGGTAGCCTGATGCTGTGGTTCATTCCAGCTTCTGTTTTGGAATGATGTGGAAATGAAGCTACCAGTGCCTCTTTACGGTTAAGTAGTGAAGACTACACCCATAAAATTCAGCACAATAAAGCTGCATGTTAAGGGTTATTCTACTTTTACCTTGTTGATTTATGTACAGTACCGCATATTCTCGCACAGTAGCGTATATAATTTTCTTTTTATCTCCATTTAAAAAAAAGCTTGACAAATTTATTGGGGCACCGGGCTGGCAGAGGGCCCCTTTTATCCGCCACTGGGTATAATATGGTATATGTCCTACAGTACGTCAGAGACACATTTTGCTGTTATGTATCAACAAAACCCTTTTTGGTCAGGGTGATAGATCGAGGACGATAATTATGAGTAGGGCCCCTTGCTGTCAGGAGCCCTGTGGACCGCCGTATGAGAGCGTATAGACGTTACACCACTGTTCTCACGTATAAAGCGATCCACAATGTATCACAACACCCTCCCCTCTAATTTGAGAAGATTTTTAGACGATTTTTTTTAGACGACATCCCAATTTTACCATCAGAATTCTTTCTTTCAATACAATCCTTTGGGGACCAAGCCTACATTTAGCGCTAGGTAAAGTTCATGGATTTCATTGTATCAGCATTATCATTAAATTCACTGACAAATTAAACAACAACCGTCATGTATCGTCAAGCTTACATGCTGGACCCATACTAACAGTTAATAATAGCTTCATTTCAGTTTTAAATTTGTGTCTTTGGTTTAATAGTGCTCATAATACGAACATGGTTTTAAAAATAAAAAAAATTATGTTGCGCATATAAGACAACTCATGTTTTTCGAACGCAATTAATTTTGCTATTTTAAATACGCAAAAATATACGGTACAAAAGCAATTTTTTAAATAAATTATGTACAGTATCTGCAAATACAGTAAATTATTTTATAAGTCAATGATACTGACTATATAGTTTTATACATTTAGACAAGACTTTTTAAATACCGTTTTAGCGAACCTGTCGCCCACCAATAAAAACTTAAAATAAAAAATCAAATTGCCATGAGAAAACCGTGTGCTGCCAAAAAAAATATGAAAAATTCAGAAACTAAAACATTTATTTATTTTTACGCAGCCATGAAATTTTCCAAAATAAGATATAATCCCATTACTACCTGTTTACATTCACCAATAATAAAATTTTAATTTTATTCTGTCAATCCTCCCTGGATGTTTTTGGACAACCATTTTCTGGAAAATTTTATTTTGATTCTGACGATCTTCGCTATTAGTCTTTGATTTAGAAGTGCAATAACTAATTTAACACGATTGAAAAAAAAAAAAAAAAATCCGCTATGTGCCACTGGCACAGCGTTTGTGGTCGTACCGACGAAGAACTGAAGAAACTGACGAGCAGACTCCCTCCCGCCCTAGTTGGACCTAGGTTGACCGGAGGACAGGAATGGTAGCCTACAGCTTATACCCAGGACGACCTGCACGCACACACTTGGTGGGACTGGTCAAAGATGATTCTGCGACCGAGCGCTGGAACTCGGGAGAACCGAAGCTCTACTCTCTACAGTGGGGCCACCTGCTGGGGTCGATCTGCCTACTAGGGATCAGACTCGGAGAATCAGTGGCTTGACTAGTGATGTACGACCGCAAGGAAAGATTCAACTTGACTCTATAAGTAACCAGAATACATTCAGATTACTAACGGTATGGTGTCATTATTACGAAGCGTTGCACTGCCATCCAATTTTTACCATTTTTACAAAGTTTATAAACAAAATTACATTTATATAAAAAACTATTGATTAGGATATAATATTTATTGTTTGATATTTATTGTATATTGATATTTTATGTCTTTTATTTGCACTCTTGTGAATATTTATAATGTATTCATAAGCTTACTCCATTATTTACACGTGAACCTTGATTGAGTGTCAAAAGTATACTCATTAATAATTGTAAATATGAATTACAGTAAGTTAATTAACTAAACATCAAACATTAACACAGTTAATGAAAAATTCTAAACAATTATGAAACATAGATTCGCGACTTTTTAAACATTAAGAGCTAAAACTAAATGAATGGTATTACCTACAAAGGTCGAAGGTTATGTTGTGTTCCGTGTGTGGCGGCGGTTGTGGGAAAGTTTTTAATGAATCGGTCTCATGAGAAAGAAAAGTATTTTTTATGAATTATGTAAAATGGAAAGTGAAATTAGCATAGATCAGATTGCAAACGATTTGTGCCTGGATCCAAGATTATTAAAGACCAGGGAAAATGGAGTCTTCATTGCTGCAGTAAGAATTAAATAGATTAAGGCCTACGCCTAGTAGCTAGGCCTAGCTAAGCTCGGCTAATAACTAAGCTAGGCTAATAATAAAGCGGCGAGGCCCAGGCGAATCACTTGCTGGCTAGGCCTGCCCTGGCTAGAGTAGGCTACTACTACTATTAGGCCTAGGTTCAGGCTTGGCCATGACACCATGTTTATCGTTACTTGCCAGGTCTTATTATAAGATGTGGTATGGCCTCGGCTCGGTTCGCTGCATGTTGCAAAACTGATCAGTGATACTTGGAATAGCATACCTATCTATGACTTATGTAGCTACCTAGGCCTACAACAAGTCCCATGGTAGGACAGCAAAGAAAGAAACGAAGAGTTGCATTGATTCCAGACTATATTTATAGAAGGTCTGCTCAAAAAAAAATTGGCCTAGAAATCTTTCCACGCTTTTTGCAAAATAATATGGGCCGATTTCCTTGCAGATTTTCCCTGCAGAAAATTTGGCTTTTGACTCAATTTAAAAACTTTACTCTATGGCATTGATTGGTAACCAGACTCCACAAATTATTAAAATCGACTTTACTTTCATATTTATTGAATGTTTGGTTAAAAAAGAGAGCATTTTGTAGTCCTACCAGCAGGCAGTGTGACTCCAGAAATTTTCTGATGGCCAAAAGGAAAACCTCAGTTCATTTAGTTATTTTATTCACAGGTACCTAGCGAGTGGGTTATGCAGATGCTTAAAACAGGCTACACTGAGAAAATGTCAGCACCTGATGATCAGACTGTGAAGGTACACTCTGTTACGTATGAGGACTTACCAGAGTCCTGGCAGAGACTTCAAATTAAAGCATTCCAAAAGAGAACTACAAAAAGCAGCTACTGTTGGTGAGTGGGAAAATCAAACTGTCTATCAAAGTTATAAGGTTAAAAAAATCACTATACTCTAGAAACAAAATGGCTTTATACATGATATTATTATTATTAGTCATTAAAAACAAATCACTTCCATAAAAGAACAGTTCATCACACATACAAGTTCCAAATCATCCAACAACTGTGTTGAATTATAAAATATGATAGGCTTGGCAGCTTGACCCCTCAGTCGTGCCTGAAATTTATTACAAAAATATAAGTATAATAATAAAGACGGAAGCTAGCGTATAAGTACATCAATAAAAATGGTTTATTATAAATAAAAACAAGTAATTGGATTATTAATGATATTATTGTTTATTATCTATTATTCGTATAATAATTTCAGCTGCTCTAATTTTCTTTCCTATTCTTCCTTTTTCCTGTTCTTTCAAATATTATTTGCATTCATTATTGATTACATACTAAATTAATATAACATACTGTACTATTCAATCTTGCTAAATTCAAAGCCAAAGTTAGCTGGTCTCGGCCACTCTAAAGTAAGCCACCATCAGATTGGCTCTCTTCACAAAGGCTTCTACAAATGAATGTCTTGGTATGGAACCAGAAATCTTGTGTCCCTATCCAGTACTGCCTGATGAAAAATCGACAGAAAATTAACCAATATCCACCAAGTAAAACAATGTTGTACTATAGTTAAAATACAATTATCTTTAATGATACATACCACTATTACCATATTTATTTAAGTAAATTAAGCCTTGTGATTGTTCTTGTAAACGAAATGGTCGATAATAAGTTAAAATCATCTCTCATATTTTAAAATTCTTTCTCTAGTGTGTCAGCATTAAACCCTGGAAGCCAAGTTGTTTCAAATCTTGAACTGTTGGACTGGATGCAAACACTATCAACAAAAGAATTTGCTCATCAATGGAAAACAACGTTTTACAAATATGAAACACTATCATCTGCATATGTGAAATCACAACAGACGGAGGTTAGTGTTTTACCTCTTAACATTGAATAATATATATATGGAGAGGGCCAACCGTAAAGAAATTGCCTCAGGGGCAGATCCAGAGATGTCCTAAAGGGGGAGCCGAAAATGGGGAAATAACACTACCCTAGGGGGTCTGGGGTGCATGCCTCTGCAAACTTTTTGTGTTCTAGATGCCCGAAAATAACCTCTGAGGCGTTTTGGGCGATCATTTTTTTTTTTTTTCCTTCCAAAAGTCGGGGGGTTGCCAGGGCTGGCCTGACCCCCCCTCTGAATCCACCCCTATGTCTTGCCTAAGGACACCGCTCACCGTAAGCATTTGACGACGTGACACCGTCTGCAGATTATTAGTGGCAATCTGAACAGATCGTCATTAAAAATGATCCGTTGTGCACATTGTGGCGTTCTCCATGGAATCGTACAGTGAGTGCTCGGTTTAAATCTAAAAAATTTGTTATCCGGCAACTATGATAATGAAATAATATTCGTACATAATTACAAAGTGTTTACACTAACAATATTAATTAAATACACTGAAATATTATTTTTCTCGAACTAGGAACGACAATTGAACTTGATCGAGGCCATCAAGAACATTTATTGCATACCCGTTATTGAGACTAACAGCGAACGGAATGGTGGTAATGACTCACAGATAAAACGCAGACAAGGCCATCCTAATATCTACCCAATCATGTGTGCTGTTGACACCCAAAATTTGATTTATCTTCTCATGCAATATCCTCAGCCTTCGCTTCACGATAGCATCCTGTTTAGCCCGGCAATGCTTGAAAACTCATACGCCAAGCTGCTGTTTGTTATCTACCAGTTGTTTCAGGCTATCTACCACTGCCACACAAGGGGAATTCCCTGTGGAGATATCAGCCTAAACGACTTTGAACTAACAGAAGATTTGTGGTTGAGGTTCCAAGGTCCAAATTGGAACTCGATTATAAAATCTGATTCTGAATGTGACGCTACCATTCCAAGAGATTCCATGTGCAATGAACTCCAGAACGATGGTGACAGTGTAAAAGACAACGTAACTGGAGAAACCACTGACCATTCCATTGTCACATCCACAAATCAGGATCAAACATCACTTCTAGATAAGCTGCCAGAATTAGTACAGGATTGGGTTTTAGGGCATATTAGCAATTTTGATTATCTAATGGCATTAAATACTCTCGCTGGTCGAGAAATGGGTCACCCTAACTATCATCCAATTTTCCCGTGGGTTATGGATTTCTCCTGTCCAAATGGTGGTTTCCGTGATCTTACCAAGTCTAAATACCGTCTTAACAAAGGGGATGAACAACTGGACTTAACATACGAAGCATCTATACCGACTCTTGGAGGAATGTCCTTGCAGCCGAGACATCATATCTCAGACATTTTGTCCGAGATCACATACTATATATACCAGGCACGAAGAACGCCTAAAGCGGTTTTGTGTAAGCATGTCCGCTCGAAATGGGTACCGAATGAGTACCCAGTTAGCATTCAAAGACTGCAGGCTTGGACACCAGATGAATGCATCCCAGAATTCTTTTCCGATCCTAACATTTTCCACTCAATTCACGAAGACCTTCCCGACCTTGGGCTACCAATGTGGGCCAGTAGCCCCGATGAATTTATTACTCACCATCGCAGAATACTTGAAGGTGAATTTGTGTCTGAAAGACTTCATAAATGGATCGACCTGACATTTGGATATAAGGTATGATATTAAATTTTGGTGAAATAATGAAGACATTGTCATATAACATTGAATGTAAATTTGGCCCTACTCATTTTAATTTATAATAGTATCAAACATATTTTCAGTATTATTAGGCCAAACAATAATTGTTTGATAAACTCGACCTATCCATAATCTAAAAAATCTTGAATCAACTTTTGCCATCATTTTCACATTCCTCCTTCCAAATTGGAAAGGTAATTGTCATGAGTTGGCTGTGAATCCACTCGCATTGTATTTAACTCAGAACATGAAGTCTATTTTGTATATATTTATCTGGATAAACCTTTCCTTTGACACTTACCTTTTGAGCAAATGCCCTAGCTTACCTATATACGCCCTGCGTGAATGAATGATATCCTCATTTCCCTCTCGCTATAGAGCGATATAGATGATTGAAAAGCTTACCCATTCTATGCTTAGAAATCTGTAACAGATCTCGGCGAGGGAGGGCGTTTATTCATTTAAGTATCTCACTCATAGACTAATAACATCAATACTAATTTGGTTAACTTGTTCCAGTTATCTGGAAATGCTGCAATTAAAGCACGTAACGTGTGCTTGCAACTGGTCGACCACCACACGGAACCAAGAAGACACGGTGTACTTCAACTGTTTGCGCATCCCCATCCAAAACGCCTTACCAAGTCACGGTACACTTCACCAGAGGCTCCTCTGTGTACGTCACGTTTCTATTGGTCAGAATTTACCCAGAAGTCTTTCAACGCAGGGGTAAGTTGTGGTATTATCTTTTTAATGCAAAAGACACTGATTATCATACAAAACACTTATGATAATGAGCCAGAGTTTCCCCTTACCATGTTAAGCCTGATTATTATTCAAATATTTTACATGTTATGCCCAGAAGTATTTCATTATTATTATTATTTTTATTTATTTATTTTTTTGTTGTTGTTATTATTCTTAAGCTTTAGCCATTCACCAATTCAGTAAATGTTTTTCTTGGAGAATCAGACTTAAAGCCTTTCTGGCTTATTGTTTCCTCCACGCACAATGAAACGTCACTGTGTCTAGTTATTCATAATTTATTCTCATCTCATTCATTTCCATAAAAAAAAAGGAAAAATACAAAATGAAAAAGTACAAAGTGAATATTGAAATATGAACACAGCGTAAATTACATTGTATTTGCAAGCTTTAAAGTGGGTTCCCCTCAATTATGAAAATAATAATATAATTAATTGGTCTAAATAAAGAATATAAATGAAAAATAAATAAATATCTTTCTGTCTACAAATTTCTTCATCATGAAGTTCCATTTTGTCCATATTATTGTTAATTTGAATTTATGAACCTATATTACTCTCTATTGAATTATTAAAATATGTTCTTATATTGTGTTCATTGTGTGAAACAATATTTACTAAGAACTGAAACTGAAAGCTTTCAATTACTTAGCTTTCTAGTCATAATTCTTTCTGTAAGTTCTCACTCTTTTGTAAGTAAATCTTATTTTTATGGAATGTTTTTATTTGACTTCTGTGTGCTTGAAGTAATTTGTTCTCATTTATTTTGATTTATCCATCTAAGGTTGAAAGCACGCTGTCTGTTGATGGTGTTGATTCCGGATTGACTACAAGCCAAGCGGTCGGAGAACCAGCTCGGCATGATGTTGCCGCTGGCATTACAAGTACAAAGGCAAGTCCTTTTATTACTCTTTTAATTTTATAATATTTACTTTTGTAATAAAAATATTAGCTTTCATATTAAGAAATAATTTGATATTCATTCATCAATACTGTCATTATGAAGCCCTGTCCAGACTATCAAATTTTATTTGACAAAAACATGTGACATGCCTAAATATGGTCATGATGACATCACATCATGACCATATATAGGCACATCATGACTATATATGGGCATACAACAGTTTTTTGTCAAAGAAAATATGATAGTGTGGACAAAACTTTAACCCAAAAAAATAATCATCATCATCTTCGACAGCATTGACCATCACAGTCATTATTGCTATTATTATCGACATAATTTGGTATGATTTTTATTATTTTTTTCTGTTTGTTTAGGAATACGACCATAGTAATGAGGTGGTTGAAGTTGCCAGTGCTGGTGCATCTCAAGAACCTTTTAAAGTCGTTAAGGAAGCACTGAGCGCTGCGTTGATGAGTACTGATGATGCCACTATCAAAAACCCAATTAAGAAACTATTCAGGTAAACAATGGAAACTATTCATCACTTAATGTTTGAGTGCAGCTTAACTCGGTCGACTAAACTGGTGGTAGCCACTGTGTCTGCACTAACCGTGGAGATATTTTGTCTCCGATTCAGTTTCCTTGTGTTTCAGCTGGAGGGCTGAAATGCAAGTTTCAAACTTTCGGATGACACGTTTAAGCCATTGGTCCTGTGTGTAAAATTGCCCATGTATGCATTAAAGAATGATGTACACTCTTCAAAAAAGAGTATGGGATTGTCTCCTGGTGTACCACCCAATTCATCACCAGAAGAAATCCAATCCAATCTAATTCAGCCTGTGGCAAAAAGTTTTGACTATGAAAGTCTTCAAATACCAGACATTTTACCAGACCATTATATTTTATGAAATAATAAGAATTACATTATGAGTGTATATTTCTAAATTATAGACCTCGACCGGAGAGTATGGAATTAAAGTATGTCGGTCCTCGACCGGAAACAATGCCCATTGTGATTCCTGAAGACTACAAACCTTTAGCAATGCTTGATCAAATTGAGTCACTGTATGCATTCACAGGCAAATCACTGCATGAGCTACCAAGCAAACAGCAAGAACCCTCTGTAAGTCATTTTTACAAAATTCTAGGGGTTCCAAGTATGATGGGGACTATCCTGTGAATCTGGATGACCTCAGGGTTACTTCACACTCATGTGCAAAAATCTCCAGCAAACTTACCCATCTTCCAGAAATTAATGATATTTGTCTTGATAAACAATGCTCACTCTTTTGTAAAAAAAATTTAAAAAGTCACTCGGTAATGTGATCTCAGACAGTATCAGTACTATTTTACATTATTCTGAAAATTATAATGGTGACCCCTTGAGAGGATTTCTATCTCCTTTTAGATGTCATATGAGTTATTTTACTGGTACTGGATTGATCTGGTTGATGGATATTTGTTTGTTTTTATTCTGTATTTTCTCTGTATTTTTGATGTTTTCCTTCTTGGAGGTGTTTTTGGAATAAATTGATAATTTTCTCCTTGAAGCTAGCTGACAATGGGTATCACCACAACCCAGTAAATACAGATAGATGTGTTAAGAAATCTCATTTTACCTGATCTCCCTAAACTGGTTTTGTACAACTTGGGACCCCTGCGAATGCTATCCAACATTTTCATTTCTTGCCTCATCTTTCCTTTATTTAAAAAAATAATATTGAAAAATTGCAAACCTTCATCAGAAGATTGTATCAATGCATAGAATTTTTGTATATATTTATTTTTGGTATCTTTTGAAATTATATATCTGTGATTTAATATTGTGTAAATATTTATGATTTTGAAAGGATTTCAAAGTGGATGAATCGGATAAGCTGCTAGCTCATGACATGGTGATGGTGGGCTGCTTGATAGCTGAGATTGTTCTAGCCCCGAAATTACAAATGCAACGTCCGCATGTTAGCTTCGCCCAGAGATGCACGTTGCTTCGAAAACTATGCATCAGGGATATTTTAGATGTACCGAGGTAAGTTAACAGTAATTAAAATATAAGCATTTATGGAAGTGTAATTAAATATTAGTTAAGTTGGGTGAAACGATTGTGTGTGTTCTGATCCATGGTGACCTTTGATCTCTGATTTTCTTATTTCAGACCATTGCAGGGTATATTACGACAACTTCTTCAACTGGATAACTCAGACTTTGATGTGCAAGATATCCGGCTTGTTCCTATTGAGGAAGGTTATCCACCTCCTTCAATAGGTCTTCTTCTACAAACTCACGGAACCTTCATCCCATTCCCTGCCTACTTCCCAGCTATGTATGAACTCATCTGTAAAATCAAACAGTTGACTCTGTCTGTTGAGGACCCAACATCAAAATTTTCAGAAATATCAAAGCAACAACATGTGTTCGAAGAAATTCAAAACATTGCTAAGTTCCTGCCAAAACTCTTTGATGGATTAACTGAAGAAGGGAAAGAGGTTCTGCTGCCTTTTTTTATTCCATTGTTTCAGAATAAAGACTGTGCTCTTTATGCATTTTTACTCCTGTTTAACACCATTGCACAACATTTAGGCCCTGAGATGACAGAAATCAAGTTCTGCGCGTTACTAAAGAACCTGTACAAGTCTCCGTTCACATCATCAAACTTCATTTTGATATTTCACAAGTCTTTTCTCTCATATTTGATCTCCCGATTTGGTTTTGACTGCTTTCTTCAGAATTTTGTGGAATTCCTTGTGGAGATGTTATTAGGACAACGAACGTGTCCTGCTTTTAGGTCATCAGCTGAATTTCCACTCCCTGTTTTGACCACAGAGAGGCAAAGATCATTTACACACAGGGTCTCTGAAAGCCACGATGCACTTACCCTCGAGAATGATGAAGAATACGCCCCCGATGATTACACTCCATGTCAACAAACTCAAAATGATGAAGATATGATTTCGCAGGATGTGGATGAAACCTCAGAAGGTTATGCAAGCGAAGAACTCACCTCTCTTGATGACAAAACACAGGACGATTCTGAAGGCAATCAGATAACGGATACAAACGAGCCCTCCCCAAGACATAAGCAATTTTTAAATTTTGCCGCTGATAAGACAGAACCGGTTAAAGTAGAAGAAGGATTAACTATAGAGAGTACAGTGAAGGGCATCGATGAAAGCGACAATTCTTCTCCAATAGCCCCTGGTACAACACTGATCGAAACAACTATGGAGAGCATCTTGTGGTTGGCAGAGAAGATAGGCCCATGTCTGACAGCTACGATACTGAGCCGCCAGCTCCTGGGCATTGCTGAACAGTGTTTCTCTGAGGAAGAGCAGTTGAGATGGCTTGATGAGGATTCAGACAGCGAGAGTAGTGGTGGTAAGAAGTAAAATCAATTTATTTACTTTCCGAAATGTTTATAAACATTCATTATAGCATCAGATATTTAATAACAATTTTCAGTTCATGTAGTTCTAAAGCCATGTCCAGACTGTGTAAGATGCTTAATCATGGTGATGATGACATCACATCAAGACCATATGTGGACACATCATGACTAAATATTGGCACAGAACAGTTACTTGTCAAAGAAAATTTGGTAATCTTGGCAGCTTCACTTTTGTTCTTATTGAATTTATTTTTACCACGGTACATTTTGCTGGGCTAAATGAATCATAGGGCACTCTAAAACATTGTAGTGGTTTTACTGAGACCCAGGCTAAATACTACTCACCATGCAAATGGCAGTTAACGTGCACTACAATTTATGTTTTGATTGGAAAATTATTACAGCTCACATTCAAATTTTGAGTCTAAACTAAAGATTTTGGACACAAATTTACAATTAGGCACACATTACCAAAACTCAAGAAGATTTAACTAAGTTGCGTTGTGCTGTGGAATTTTTTGATTAGAATTGACCAAAAACAGGTACAATAAAAGGCCAATCAATACTTAACATTTTACTTTCGCAGATGACGATACACTGTTCATGGATAAACGCTTTGTTGAGGGTGATACTTATGCAGAACCTGTCTTCTATTGTCTCATACACATTGCAGAAATTTATGGAGAGGAGTTCATATTTAAACAGTACTTACCTTATATACAGACAAGTGTAAGTTATGTCTTATTATGCAATACACATCGTAAAGCTTTCATGTTATCGTACAGAATACTATGAATGCTGATATCAAGAGACGACCATGTCTTTTCATTTGTTGTAGGTGGCGTCAGTTCGTAAGAAATTGAACTCAAAGAGCGAGGCAAGCTTAATCTCATGTTTATCGTTGCTCAAGTTTCTCCTTCCATACTTCAGTGACTCTCAACTTATGGAAAAGTTAAAGGTAAGAGACAATGAGGGTATTGCTACTGTACAAATTCAATTTATTTCAGAAGTCAATCAGGTAACCGAGGGTCAGGTTAACTACGCCTTTTTCACGCTGTGGTAGACATCTTCAGTCGATGACAAACAGTGTTGAGCAGTGAAGTGCAACCAATAGAAATAACATAGCGTTTTCGCCATATTTTCGGAGGTCAGGTTACTTAAAAAATCGTATCAACATAATTTTTTCTTTAAAATGTTCGCAAAGGATACGTATTGTTTGCAAAGTACTGTATGAATAACAAAAAAATTAAAATTTCTTTAGTCTGTTAAAACTTAATTGAAATACAGCAACACACACTATACAAAATCTGTCATGTATTTTCTAGTTAACTTTTTGACAGATTAAACAAATTTCCAATTTTTAAAAATTCATACAGTACATAGAACCGAAAATATCATGTAGCGTGCTGGCCATTTTGCTTAAAGAATCATCCTTAGCAGAGGGTCATATCAACATTTTTTTTTCCTCACATGAAGTCACGTCACACAAAGAGTCCTCATTCCGTGAGTTAAACTTGCTCCATCAGACCCTAACCTCCCATTCACACTGCAAAGGATACAATTTCCAGTTAGACTTGCATACTCAATGACCATAAACAAATCCCAGGGCCAGACATTCAATAAACTATGAATATACCTCCCAGACCCCCATATTCTCTCATGGATAACTATATGTTGCATTTTCACATGCTAGAGGGTACTCCAATGTAGGCCTATCTATTATGACAACAATTCCTCACGAGGACAATTCAGCAACAAGACACCCAAAATGTTGTCTACAAAGAGGTGCTTTACAACAATTATGACAAGGTAACCATAACATTTTCAGTGATGGCCTCCTCAACTCCCCATAGCATTCAACTATAATAAAGGCCTCATCCACCTTCCTTCACTCAACTAACACCCTGCAGAGCACGGGAGTCTATTTCGTGAATACTTACCTGGATAACCGACTAATTGCAATCTCTCAGCTTCTTTCCCTTCCGCATTCCCCAGCCGAGTCGTGGCTGCGGATGTTGGGGTTTCTCGCGAGCCTGGTAGACCTAGTTCCTTATTGCCGGCTTCGTATGCGCCCTCTTCAACTGCA